AAGACAGTTGAAGCAATTAAACTGGTCATCAATTTAGGTGATACGTTGCTTTTCTCAAGCACCTAATTTTCATAATGTTCGCTTATAAATAATGATGCCAATTTACTCTGTGTTGTACATCTTGCCCTTCAGTACCACTTAAAAAAGTCCGTCTCAGTTCCAACCACTCTGCCCTGTGTTTTGTTTTTGTCCAAACTGTCATGGAATTGCTCAAGCTCCTCCACATTTGTACATTTCTTTCCGTGAGTATAAACTTCTCTTTTTCCATGAACAATATTGAATGTTTGCTAATTAATTTCTCTGGGAATCCCTGTTACTTTTCTGATCATTTTTCTTTGTACTATAACTTATGTCAGCTGGCAGTTGTGGCAAGCCATGCAGATCTTGATATTTATTGGAAATCCAAGCTGCCAAACACTCCTATGCCAAAGGCAGTTAGGGACATTCTACACAGTGGTTCGTCTTCCTTGGGTCATTTTTCGGTTCTTGTGCTTGTAATCTTTCTGCTTGTGGATTTTTTTGTATGTTTCCCTTAGAGCATGAAGGATATATATGCATTATGATTAGTGAGTGGTAGCATGCCAACGATTTTGACACTCCAAAAACATCATTTTGACTTGATACCATTTGAATAGAATATTTATAGTCGTAGCATGGCAATAATTTAAATAGCACTCACTACGTTCCAAAGCTTAAACGCTTAGATGTACAATTTTAGAACTTTTGGAGTTTCACTACAAATGCTCTTCACAAAACTAGAAATGAATTTGTTTCATCTTTGACAAAGATGAAAACGCATTCTCTCTCTCTCTCTCTCTGCCATTTTAGTTTCTTTCTTTCTAATTTCTTTCCAAGATTAATTACCAATACAAGTGCTATAGAGTGGTTTTACATCTGAAAGTGACTTTTCATATACAGAAAATGCTCCAGGTACTGCATGCGCATCAATTGTGTAATTTAGTAGCCAGCAACCACTTCAAACAATAGTTGATGGTGTCCTCTCTGAATTAAATAGTAGATGGTGACTTATACATAAAAAATAAAATAAAACATTAAACCAGAAATAGTTGATGGTGACCCCTATATTAAGTGCTTGAGTGGTTAGCTGTGCATTTTCTAGTTTTAAATAATGTGAGATACAAGGAATTTTTGCATTTGTTCTTGTCCACAAAATGATGTTTTGTCACCAGTTCACTATGTGGAAAAATTGTGAATGAAATATGGAAACTGAATTCCAACAAAAAATTTTCTAGTAGAGAATTTAAAGCTAGAAAGTGAAATCAATCTTCTTTCGCAAATATAGTAAGTGTATCAATTGCACCATTCTACTTTGTACAGTGACTTAAAAGATCACTAAAAGATACTTCAGATTACAACCTTCCGATTACTAATTAGCTATATCTTCTCCTTTGTACCCTCTATTCTAAAACTTTTTGATTAATCCTCACTAGCCTCAATCCATCTATTATAACTGAGAATATTATGCCTTTCTATACAAAAGAATTGGTACATGGAATTATAAAATGAGGTTCAGTTTCAATGACCTTGCTATGTATAAAGATTGAGTGATATTTTCCCAGAATGGTTAGAAGACAAGAGCACTTCAGTTGCAGTAGGAAAGGGAGGAGTAAACGTCAATACTGGGAAAGGAAAGCCCGCTGGCAGCGGCACCAATGTTGGTGTTGGTCACAGAGGCGTCGGAGTAACCGCCGGAAAGCCCCAAACCAGCGTCGGCGTCGGAAAGGGAGGCGTTATCGTTCACGCCGGCCACAAGGGTCGTCCAGTATATGTTGGAGTAGCACCAGGTTACAGCCCATTCAACTACTTGTATGCAGCCACCGAGGATCAACTCCATGATAATCCAAATGTAGCCCTTTTCTTCTTGAAAAAGGATCTCCACCGCGGGACAAGCATGAATTTGCAGTTTGTCAAATCATCAAATCCCGCAACTTTCTTGCCTCGCAAGGTTGCTGATTCCATACCTTTCTCATCCAAATCCATACCCGAAATTTTCGACAAATTCTCAGTGAAGCCGGAATCTGTCGAAGCTGAGACGATTAAGAATACGATAAAGGAGTGCGAGGAGCCAGGAATCAAAGGGGAGGACAAATACTGTGCAACTTCCCTCGAGTCCATGGTCGATTTCAGCACGTCCAAGTTAGGAAATAATGTTCAGGCAGTTTCCACAGAAGCAGAAGAGGACACCAAAGCCCAGAAATATGGTATTGTGGGTGTCAAGAAGTTAAACAATAACAAGGCTGTGGTTTGCCACAAGCAAAACTATGCCTACGCAATTTTTTACTGCCATTCCACGCAGGCCACCGAAGCATATGAGGTTACTTTGGTTGGAGCGGATGGAAAGAAAGCTAAAGCTATGGCTGTTTGCCACGAAGATACAGCAAAATGGAACCCAAAGCATTTGGCTTTCCAGGTGCTAAAGGTGAAGCCAGGAACCGTTCCAATCTGCCATTTCCTTCCTGAGGACCATGTTGTTTGGGTTCCCAAGAACTGAATTTGTGAAGAAAATCCTTGAGATCCCTCCTTTACTTTAGTCTTATCCATTTCGAGTTGTCTTTACTTTATGTTCCGTTCCATCGTAGCTTCAGTTAGCTTGGAGTTTGTAGCTCTGCTCATAGAGACGAGATGAGTGCTAAAACCCTGAAATACTTGTGTACTTCTGCAGCTTTGTCCTTAAAATTATCTGTATGAATTATGGTTTCCAGAGTATACCTACACCAGATGTGAATCAGATACTAATCATATTATTGCATATTAGTCTCTTTAGTAATTTTAGTTAGATGGAGTCCTTTTGCAGAAGTTTCTTCTAGTTTTTAATATATTGACTACGTACAGAAAAAAAAATTCTTAACAATCTATGGTTAATTTGCCTATCTCAACTTGATCTTGGTTAAGAAAATACAAGGGGAAGGAATTTTTCCACTCAAATTTCATTGCCTTCTAATGCAAGAAGATGAAAAGTTTAGTTTGAGGAAGTATTTAGTCAATGGTAAATGACCGTAAATCCCTTTTAACATTTGGTCCCAAGACAACTTAATTTGCCACTTACACTAATGATCAAAGCTAATCGAAAGATAAAAATTAGTTAAATAAGACAAAAAATCTCCACTATCCACAGAATATTTCAAAATCAAAGGACAAAGATAAAAAAAATGTCGTTCTATTATTTTTTTTTTCTAAGATGTCATTTTATTATTACAAAAAATTGAATTACAAACAAGATTTTACCTTCAAAAAATCTAAGGTGTGTAGAATGTGTTCATTACATGTACGGATAAGTGTAATAAATACATTCTAGAGTTTCTGCATTACTGAAATTTTAATAGTAATAGTAAAAGAACAAAATGTAGTCCTTAAGAAAGTACTAGGCAGTATTGAATACAGGCAGGAGGTTTGAAGGTATAAGAGATAACAACCACCCCAGCTACCAACAAACTGTTTGAATTTGAGTGGCACATTTATTGCAGCATATTACAATAATGAAAGTCGGCAAAATGTATCAAAAAAATCAGATCGTATACATTACTCGAGAGAAACAATTTTTTTGATTAAACAACTCACAAAATGCGTTGTCCGAAGTTGGAGAAAGTAAAATGTTCGGTTTTAAAAGAACAATTTTTTATTTGGTGTTAGAAAAAAATAATACCGGACGCACTTCTTACTTGTTATCTACTAAAAGGATGAACAATAAAAAATGAAAACTTAAATGTTCATGACAAATACGGTTATATAGTTCGATTTTATGCTAAAAAAAAAAATTTATACCATAACAAGAAAACCGGGATTGGATATGCACCATAATTTCACAACGCCAAACAGTTTGCTTTCAAACTTGCAAGCAAGAAAAGTATGAAAATAGTTAATGGCTTTCTGTGTATAAAAATAGTAGTTAATAGGTATGCATATAACCGGTTCCAACCATAATACGTTTATGTGATTTTTTTGACATTCTTCTGTGACTGAAAGATGATCATCCAAATCCTGTAGCTAAGCTTAGTAAAACTAGCAAACCACTTTGGATATACTTCAAGTTTGTCAGCCACATTAAGAGCAGGATTGATGCCATACGTCAAAAACTTGAAAAAAAAAACTACTAACTAATCGATAAAGATGACACCAGATTGCCATAAGCGTAAGGCTTAAAACTTAAGCTCTCAACTTCCAGCTGAAACCCTTTGTCTGATAGCATTGATCAAGTAAGGATTGACCATTATCAGATCAGACCAGACAGGATTCCCGTTTGCGTATGCAATTATGAAACAGGCATCTGTATCTCACACAGAAACGCGCAGAACTTCACACATGTAACTCACTGATACATTTGGCTCAATTGGCATTAATGCGTTTAAGCCACAGTTGGAAGTGATTAGAGCACAAGTCATCAGTAGAGATGATCTGTTGCTTGTCTGCTGACATTTTACCCTGAACCCACATTCGGCTATAAATAGCACTATAGTTGTTGCCTTTTATCTTCAAGAAAGTTGTGGTTTCATTTTTCACATCTATCATAAAATTTCACTTCTGTTTACACTTCCCTTGGCAGCCAGTCTCTTACAAAATGGAGTTTCGACCCCTACATCTCTTCATCTTTGTTGCTGTGAGTACAACATTGCATCAATTATTTACGCTTTTGCCAATAAAATGTATTCTCTTTTACGCTTTTTCCAATAAAATGTTCACTTGTTCGTCTGTGTGTTTCAGCTAGCTTGTGTGTCAAGCCACGCAGCACAACCTGCTGAGACATATTGGAAATCTGTGCTCCCTAACAGTCCTATGCCGAAAGCTATCGAGGATCTTATACAATCTGGTCAGACTCAAACCTAAAAGCTGTTCTTTCACTGTTGTTATTCAAAAACAAAATGCTTTTTTGTCTCAATGCATTTCATGTTTCTACATGCCAGTAATGTTCTCGAGAAACCACAAATTAGGCTTAGGCAATAAACAGTGATACAAAGGTTAAAAGGGAACGAGTCAGCAAACTCTAGAATAAATACTACTACAGAGCATAAGACATTAAATTACCTTTTTTTAGCAAAAAATTGGCAAATCCGGTACATGAAAAGGAAAGTAGATTTTTAACAGTTCTTACACAAGGAAAACTAATCCTATCTAAAGAAAGAAAGAATAAGACATTAAATTACCTATAAGGTGGTAAGAATAGTATATTCATCCGTGTGTTCATGCTAACTGGTTGTTATGGCAGAAACGGTGGATGATAAAAGTACTTCAGTCGGAGTAAGTGGTGGTGGAGTAGATGTTAATGCTCAGGGTGGAAATCCAGGAGGCACCAACGTGAATGCTGGGCACGGTGGCGTAGATGTAAATACACCAGGAGGCACCAATGTAAACGTCGGGCCTGGTGGAGTAGGTGTTAATACACCAGGAGGCACCAACGTGAATGTTGGACCGGGGGATCCAGGAGGTTCCGAGACACAGGGCAGAAATCCTGAAGGCACCGATGTGAATGTCGGGCATGGTGGAGGTGTAACCGTATCCTCAGGCCACCACAGGGGGAAACCAGTATATGTGGGAGTAAGGCCAGGGACATCACCATTCTTGTATAACTACGCAGCAACCAAGGATCAGCTCCATGACAACCCAAATGTAGCTCTTTTCTTCTTGGAAAATAACATGACTCGAGGATCAAAGATGAACTTGCATTTCTTCAAGACTTCACCTGGAGCCACTTTCTTACCTCGCCAGGTTGCTGAATCAATTCCTTTCTCATCAAACAAAATGACTGAAATCTTGAACAAATTCTCGGTGAAGCCCAACTCACAGGAAGCTGAAGTTATGAAAAATACAATAAAAGAGTGCGAGAAGCCAGGCATCCAGGGAGAGGAGAAGTTCTGTGCAACATCATTGGAAGCAATGGTAGATTTCACCACCTCCAAACTGGGGAAGAACGTTCAGGCGATATCAACAAATTCAGAGAAAGATACTCCACTGCAGAAATATACCATTACAGGAGTGAAAAAGATGACAAATGACAAAGCTGTAGTATGCCACCAGCAAAATTATGCATATGCTGTATTTTACTGCCACAAAACACAAGCTACTAGAGCATATACACTTTCCTTGGTGGGTGCAGATGGAACAAAAGTTAAAGCAGTCGCAGTATGCCACGAAGATACAACAAAATGGAACCCAAAACACTTGGCTTTCAAAGTTCTGCAGATCAAGCCAGGACAAGTTCCTGTTTGCCATTTCCTTCCTGAGGATCATGTTGTCTGGGTACCTAAATAAATATGTGCAGGAAACTCCAAATGCTTGCCCATTTGGTTCTATTGTAAAGCAATAATATACTGGTTGTAGTACCACTAATAAACATATCCCTCTTATTTACTCAAAAGTTTAGACTTCTCTTCCTTTGATTGGATTTCAGAGTGAACAAATCCTTCAAGTGCTTATCAGTAGCACAATGCAGATTAAAAAATCATTTTTTACTATAATTGCAAATCAAATAATCTCCCCCTGCACAGGAATAAAATTGCACTAAAAGTCTTTTAGCATCAGTTATGAGCAAAATAATTGACAAATTCCAATTCTCGGTATAGATTAGAGATGGTAACAGAGTAGAGGATGAAGTTAAATGCCTACCACATAACTGTAAACAAAAGTAATTGATGGATTTAGTATAAGACTGTTTAATATCACTTCAACAAACATAGATGGTTTTACTCAGATAGAAGATTCAGAGTAGTATGTTTCAGACAACAGCTACAAATCCACTGCTAGTGTCTGAATGTGCCTCCTTATTGTGGATTTCGCATCCCTCGTTAACCATCAAGACTTCAGCAGTTCCAGTAAGGTGGCCAAATATCCATCATAAATTGGCCATTGACAAGTTACTTTCGAGTCTTTAGTAACTTGGAGTGGATAACTTTCATTCCTCCTTTAGATCCTCCTATTATAAAATTGAAAAACAACATGAAACTACTTGGTTCAAATTAAACGACTTCAAGTGGATGCCAAAGTGATATTATGAATTATAGATGTTAGTCCCTTGGATGATTTATACAACAGAGCAAAGGACGAGATTGAAAGACAAGAAGAAGTTTTCTTTTTTCAAATGTCTACTAAGAAAGAAATCAATTACAACTATTATCTGTACTCAGGATGTAGTTTGACCAGCTATACTAAAAGACATCTTGAGTATTAGATTCTATGCTTAGACTATATGTCAGATAGTGAGTGAGTTTCTTTATGTAAGGCAAGGCTCTCATGTCCTCCTCTGAAGTTGTAATTTCATTCGAGTACTTATGGAACTGGTATGGTGGGTCAGCCAATAACAAACCACTGTAAGGCGTCTTTCTTTAAAGACAAGACAACAACAACAAAGATTTCAAAACCACTCCTCACATCTTTCCCTGAAATACAGAAATGCTCAACCCAAAAGCAACCTAGGCCAACCGAAAATAGATTTCTAACAAACAGAATCAAGAATTACAGAAAGAAAGAAAAAAAAATGAGGTGATGGAACAGAGAAAAAAATAAATAAAAGAAGTCCTTGTCATGCGAGAAGTGTTTTTAGAATGCATTTTGAAACCACAAGTGTGCAAAAAACAGCAACAAATGAAAAATTAAATAGTGGCCACCTGATCCTCCAAGATAACACTAGGTGAATAAGCATGATATGCAGGAAGTATTGTACTGTGAGCCTTCATCTTCAGGCCATGTCAATGTAATAACTAAAATATTCTTCAGTTTATCAAATGTTACCTGTGAATCTCAAAGAAACAACTGATGAAACAAATCCAGCATACCCACTCCATCTCATCTTAAACATCTTAAGTTCAATTGCGCTAGAGATTGTGGTTTGGATATTGCTCTGACAATGCATATATGAGATCTTTACTTTGTGCAAGACCTTCCATGCAATATCCATTCATACTGCCACCACAGCATCCTTGGAATTTTCTTCTGAATCTTCAATTTTAGTCATCTAAGAGATGCAACAATATTCTTCAACAGAAAAACCACTTAATTCCTGAAAAGCTTTAACAAATGGCTTTCAATAATTTGGCAATAAAGTTAAGAACCCTCCAGCCAATGCTTTAGCATGACAACAAATTTTGAATAGAACACTAGCGGAGCCTTGTTATCATACTAAAAAGAACAACAATAAACTCTTGATAGCATTTGTCCAGCTCAAGTTAATTAACATTGGGCTGGCTTCAATCAGCAAGGGAAAGAGAACCTTCCCACAATTAAAATTCAGATAGAACATGCCTATACACCCTTCACTCAAGGCCAAGGCAAAAAGACATGTTTCTTAATACAACATTAAATGGTCTGTTAAATCATTTTAGCATGCTTTAGTTCAATCAGGACTAACATTAAAATGTTTTAGTTTAGATCAATCCGGACTAACCTTAAAATGTAGAGATGCTTTTCCTCAATTGGATCATGCAGTCATGAGAATTATGCATCAGTAACCACTCCTCTGAAAGAATAGCATCTCCAACTTTTGACCGTCTGCAGGATGAAAAACGCAAACCCCCTTCGTTAAACTGCACTATTATCAGCCTAACAACCATTAATAGATGATAAAATGGATCATGTGTGAGTAGCAGACTTGTGTTCTCTGAAACAGCTTCATGAGTCCTGAGATTACAGAGGAAATAAAGTTAACTGAACAAAGAGGAGGCCTTTTTTAGCAATTGTTTCATCCAAAACTCATCAACTAAAATCTAACTGAAACGAACTTGAGATGTGCTCCGTCAGCTGCCAGAAAACTCGTGGAAGACACACTTATCAAATTGAGCATGTCAACTAACTCGTGGAAGACACACTTATCAAATTGAGCATGTCAACTTTTGAAAGCAATCCACTGCCAGGCAAAGATATTTAATCGCTGCTTATAAATGGCCATTGGAAACACCAGTTCAGAAGAAGCAGCAATTTCACAACAATCAATTTGCTAACATGTTTCAGGATGTTTATATATTGCATACGGCATGTATCTTGTTCTAAGGATGACATTGCCCTTTAATCAAGGGAACAACGAAAGCCCAGAGTTGTCAAGGGTTAGGCTCTTGGAGAACTGTCTTTATTTTATTCAGGATGGAAAGGCTCCATAGATCCCCATGTTTTTCCGACCTTCACTTTAACAAGCAAGGGAACTGAGAAAGCAACAAGAAAATCAATATGAGCATATTAATTTTCAGAAGAAGGCTACTCAGTTTTATTTTACATATAACCAGAAAGGGCAAAAGGGAGGAAAACAGATAAAACAGTAACAAGGCAAAGGTCATTTAAACAAAAGGAATGAGGCTGGTAGACTTAGAACATATGTGTGTGTTTTTGTGTCTATGAATTATGTACATCTATATAAATATGTAATTTTTTTTTGGGGGGGGGAGGGGGATGGGTTGTTAGAGAGAGAGAAAGGGAGGGAGGGACGGTGAGAGAGACAGACAGACAGACAGAGAGGGAGTGAGGAAGGGACGGTGGGAAGAAGGGAGAGAAAGATGAGAAACAAATGATACAAATGATACAAAAGTAAGCCCCTAATAAACAGATGCTTTCTTTCACTTCCTTGGAAGCACTCAGACCAATGGTTTCATGTGCATTGCATACGCCTTTTGTTAGCCCCTTACCAAGAAGTGAAGCAGCACTTTCCATGCTCAATTGAAGCAACAATCCCGCTTCTTTTACAACTAAAGGATCTGCTTCCATCACTAATTCATCATGTACCTGAATAGCATTTAAATAAAGCATCTATTAAAGTACTTATTCAGAAAGAAATAAACAATCCATAAAGCTTCTTCATAGTAACTAACAGTGATATGAAGTTGTTACTCGGAAAAGGTCAGCGGAAACTTTTTTTTTTAATGAATAAAAGAGTCCCTTATCTATTTCCAAACATGAATTATAACAGGAAAGGATACTAAATGAAGTTTCACTTCTAGCAGGAATGTTATATGCAACTGTAACAAGACTAAATGATCATGACATCATGCCTGTAGCATGTGATAACTTTCATATGGCTTAATCAGTGGCTATTTTACACCTTCAAGCATTTTGCCATATATGTCTTCCAAACTACAGCAATTTAGCTATGATTGTTGGTCAGTGAGCTAATCATTATAAACCAAGAGATCCTTAAAGCATTTTCTCCTCCCCCACCAATCAGGCCAGCCTTACAATTAGCAAAAGAATTTATCATCTGACAAGAACCGCAGGAGATCTGAACAATTTACTGCAATTAGTTTTTTCTAAAAAGCATAATAACTCACATACTTCAATCTTTAATACAAGTGCATTCACTTGAATCTGCACATGAAAGAAAAGTTCACATTCTAACTGGCCACCAGGACATGAAGAAAAAGACAAATTGATCAACATGTCTCCCATTAGACATACTCATACAAGCTTGCAAAATATATTAAAGCTCGACATTCGTTTACAAAAACTTAGCTTCCCTCACAACTAACAAGAAATGTAAAATGAAGCTTTTTCTTGATGGCATCTCATTTCTGCTCTTCATCACAGGGAATGATTTTCTATTACCTGTTTACAGCTGCCCCTTTACACTAACACGAAATGTAAAATGAAGCTTTTCCTTGATTGAATCTCATCTGTTATCTTCATCACAGGGAATGATTTTTAGCTACCTGTTTACAGCTATTTAAAGAATGAAAAACATGATTGTCGAAGGCATCTGCTTAGGCTAACACTTTTACATAAATCTTGGTCTATCATCCTCAAAGTCTTAAGACATGACAGCCATGGTCCATACATACCAGTTATCAATTTTCAGAGACATGAATATTCGAGTGTTACCCTAATCGGTATAGTCATATACAGAGTCTATTACTTGCCTGTAAAAGGATTCTGCAGCGGCCTTTTAGCATGTGAAATTTTTCAGCTAACACACAACTAGAGCAAGACGTGTCAGCATCTTCAGCAACCACAGAGTGAAGATTGATCATCGCAATTTTAATGATATCGGCAGCTGAACCCTGAAGAACAGAAATCAGTTTAATCTAAATGATTCTAGCCACTAGTCTGACAATTAGTCAAAAGAAAAGATACAAAGCACAAAAAAAAATAGATATAAAAATGGAACATGAAGATACTACCTGACATATAGAATTCACGGCTTGTCTATGAGCTTTAGATTTTTCTTTGCTGTTTCCAAATTTTATCTTCGCCAAGAAACGCTTTCGCCCCTTGAGAGTCTTCACATATCTAAATGGAACAGAAAATCAGATTACCATAAATCCAGAATATTGTCCACGGAGTTGAGACAACCTGATAAAAGCACATAGCTAATCCTAGAGCCCAGGTATGAGTTGAGAAAATTATAAGAATCTCAAGTAGTAACCGACACTATAGTTCACCTTCATAGAAAGAGAAACATCCAGAGGTTGAACATAAACATGCATAAATAGAAGTAAACCAATTAATCCTCATTTCAATTGAACCTTAAAAGCCCCATTTCTATCAAACACCCACCATGGTCACCAAGTGAATTTTGGTCTAATTTTTCCCACCTTATAGATTTTCCCCCAGCCATGTTATAGAATACAGATAATATGGCATTCAAATCTCATTCTTTTAAGATTCAAATGTAACATGTAAGCAACCATATTAGGGGCAAAGAGCACCAAGAACCATTTTATACCAGCTCAGAGATGGAATATGACAGACCAAAAGGATTAACTGTATTGACTTAGGCTTTTTAAAACCAACATTCAAACATAGTTAATCAAACTCTGAGAAGTAAAATCCAGGGTAAACATATCAATGCACTCATATTAACAGAACAGACCCTTTCTGGCGACAAGATGTAACCACTTCCTGAAGCCACGTAGCAACACCAGGAAAAGATGTCTTAAAACAGCGAATTCTTTCTGCAGCTTCATCTGAAGTGCAGTTCAACTGTTCTGCCAGGCTATTAGCTCCCATTCCATACAGCATCCCATAGACAAGCCTCTTCGTTTGATCTCTCTCTTGTGAGCTGACACTAGACTCCACTTTTCCGGTCCATTTTGCAGCGATCATACTAAAAACATCACTGTCACGCTTATTAAGTAGCTCAACCAGCGAAGGATCTTTAGAGAAATGAGCCATCAATCGCATTTCAATCTGAGAATAATCTGCCGTTAAAAGATACCAGTTATCCTGCGAAATCATTATATGAAACAGTTAAAAGAAAACCAATATGAAAATCTATTGATAATTCCCCAATAATTACATTTGTAATACCAAAATCTTAATCTTCAATACCTGAGTAGCTACAAAGAATTCACGAGCATTGACTTTGTGGTATTCGTCAACAAGCTCTTTGCCATCTAGATCAATTCTATTCATCTTGAAGTCAACCACATGTTCAACACACTATAAAATCAAAAGCCAGAAAGAAATCAATCATAAAATGTTAGTGAAGAACAATACAGAAGAAAAGTCATTGAAAGTATGGCAAAAATGATAAAACCTGGAGATTAGGTTCCTCCATTGAAAGCCTCCCAGTTGCTGTAGAAGTTTGGAGCCAATGTCCGTGGAGTGTATATCTTTGTGTCCTTGCAGACAGTTTAGAAAGGGAACAAATGGATCCCAATGTACAATTCAAGAGCTTTGCAAATGTCCGGTGTTCTTTAATAACAGGAATGATAGGATGCTCATTCCTGACAAGCAAGCACATCAAGCATATGAGATTCTTAACTTCAAGTATCAAAATTGACTAAGTTGGAAATTTTTTTCATGACTAAGATAATAGAAAGAATAAAAAATGAAGAACCAGTAAGGTCAAAAATTCATTTGTTCTTTGCAACAAGAAAGCAAAACAAGAAGGCGGACGATATCTTAATGAGCAAACTGAAAAAGAAAAACATCATGAAGAAAGAAGAATCAAAGGCATGCTATTCACCATGAAATCACAAGGTGTTGCCTGAAGGCCTAAATGTGTACATCCTGGTGCAAAAACAAAGTAGAAACATAACTAGTAAAAAATTGCTGAAGAAACATATCTTCATATATATTAAACTGTTTTCCAACAAAATGAGGACACATGTGCAGAATAGCTTATATCAAACTCCATAATGCAGTCATTGGATCTGGCTGAATAACCAGCCCAACCATCAGGTTAGCTATTTTACAAAAACATTCATGTAAATATCATAAACTTGTCAAAATATAAGAACTAAATGCCATCCAGAAAATGTGGATATGCAAATGATAGGATCATATTTATGGTTGATTTTTTTCCTGATGAAATCATTAATTCCGATCAGATAGTAAAGATTCATTAAGGACTGAATGGCTTACGTTATTTGTGGTCTACTTCACAATTAAGACAATCATATTGAAGCAAAAAGAAAGCTAAAAATTTCAATAGACAAGATTGCCAACACTTGCTGCACCAGTTTTCCAGTTCAGCCAGTTGGACCAGCAAGTTATGTAGATGTTGCTTAACATAAAGTTCATAGAATTTTCATAATTAGTAGGCTTATTGGCATATAAAAAGGTTGTCCCATAATAAAAAGCAATTAGCACTAAAACTCCTTCAATACCTCAGCAAATCAAGACAACGCTTGTCAGTACTAGGGTGATATTTGCCTTTGTTGTGCCCTTCTGGTATAGGAATCTTCAAGTGTTCATACAGTACATTTGCAATATCTGCTGCCATGTATAATGAAAATGACATCCCAGCCAACTGGTGAGCTTCTTTCTCAAGATATTTTAATTTTTTTCCCAAGATATTCCGTGCAAGAAGGCATCCTTCCATGTCAACGCCAATGCCCCAAAGCTCCATATCTGCAAGAACATTGACCTGCAAAACAAGATAACAAAAATTTATATTGAGGAACGTACATAGAAGCAAGCAAGAGAGCATGTCCTTCTGAAAAGCACAGACATAAAAGATATACAAGCCAGAAAAGGAAAAGCAGCGAAAGCCAATTCTACTATGCAATGAAAAATATTTCTTCTAGTATGTAATTTCAAGAATTTGCAATCGTACATATCAAATAATCAACAGACGTCAGTTCAGAAAATCCACTGCCTAATCCAGTGAATGTTTCTTTTTTGAAAAATGAATATTCTCTTCCAGAATTAGACGATGGTGGTTCCCACTAATCAAAATAAAATCATCAGCTGATCTCAGTGGAGAAAATCCAGGGCCCTAGCCATTGTGTGAATAGAAGTCTCTTTATAGAAACATTTCTATCATCACCGGTTGCTTGAACAGAAGATTTATCTGTTTCCCAAATTAACATTTCCAAAGCCACCACAAATTCAATTTACTTTCCATCCAATTTTCATTGTTGGATGCACATTCAAAGTTGTGGAAAATCTATAAAACACATCTATCATCCTCCATGCAAAATGTATTTAAATTAAACTAACTTTATCCTTCTCTCATAAAGAAAAATTCTCACCAGTGGGATTTCAATGCTCAAAAAGGCTTCAACAAGTTCTTCAGATATTAGTAATTTCCAAAGGACAGAAGATAATGCTCGTATTTGTGCAACCCGTCTGCAGCAACCATTATGAGCAACTCTTCGCATTTGATTCTTCCATCTACCATTCCGGCTAGCTGCTGCTGCCGCTTCGCAGGATAACCTTTTCTTAATTTCCTATATAATACATATAGAATTCAGAAAATACAAGTAAACACAAACAAACATATGATCAGAAATTACTCGTGAGATGTAGACAAGTTAATAACTTCCAAAGAAGTGTTTAGATTTATATCACACATCATAAAACACATGAAAGAGCCTTCGCCCCAAGATGCTTATAACATTCTATCTACAACCTATTTTTCATCCTAATACAGTTGAGAATCGATAAACAAAAACAATTACTGTTATCAGGAGAAAAAAGAAATTATTCACACACATAGAATTATGAGCTGTCCAAGGAGAAAGATCCTCATAAGTCCTAGCATTATGCACTTTCTTCCAAAACAATCTCCACATTATGAGTTCTTGGTGGGCCCAATATAATTTGCAATCAGAACATAGATATAAATCTTTTATTGAGTTTTACAATCTTCAGCTGAATCCAAAAGTATGACACTCAACTGTTAGTTAAATTGCCAAAACTAGAACTCTTTCCTTTGATAAAATAAGTAACTTCAACACCTAAAATTGGAGAATTCATGATTACCTGTCATTGATGCACAGGTGTGCAAATTTTAAAAAAAAAAAAGTCAAAAAGTTACAATTTTCTGTAAACAAATATGGATTGTAGAAAGAAACAAAATGTTAGGGCTAATTAATAGTATTTATAACTGATCATAACAAACTAAGCAGTACTTATTTGACCAGTAAAATACAAAACCTGCACATCTTGAAGAAGGACGTTTTTTGGAGATACAAAAAGTGACATTTCTTTTAACACCAAACTGGCTGCTCCCGCTTTATTAATAGTAGGATATTAACAAAAGGTAACATTAAGAAATGATAAAATTTCAAAGATACAGGTTATAACACGTCTCCTGATTTTGGTTTCATAAATCCACCATTTACACATGCAGATATAAACTTTGCATAACTACAAGTACTCATACTTCTAGCCATAATTTAAGCAAACAAATTAGGCAAAGATCTTATTTTTCTACTCATAGAACTTGTACAGTGGCAAACACAACTTAATTCATTGTTTCTATCCCATGCTGCACTAAATCCAGAAAGCAGTGCACAGGAATGATCAAATCACATATAGTTTTTAGATGTAATTTAGTACTCCTCTTCCATGACGAATTACGGTACCATCACTTACTGCTGATGCCAAATCAAAAAAAAGTACTATATACTTTTGAATCCTTGACTCATGGCTATACCAAACATAATAATGTTCTTTCTTAAAGTTGACAGTGGAAAAACGAACGAGTTCTTTATAATAAAAAATACTTTTTACTGAAAGTCATAGTGAGATTGTTGACATGACGCTGATGATTACCTTTTCCAGATTAGGATTGGAACTTTTCTCCTCATCAGGCCAGAGGATCCACGCAGCAATAGACAGGTCTATAAAATTTTGCACATAAAGGGGGGACAGAACAAAATATGAGTCATCAATAAGTTCCAGACCCACAGATTTGACAGCAGAATTCAGGTTACCCAACCTATGAATGGAAACAGCAGGATACCTAAGCACCTGTATCTGAACTTTTGAATTCCATGTGAATTTTCTGACATCTTTCTTCCCTATTATTTTTCCAATTCTTTGCCAGCGAGATTTGCCCAAATCAAACTGATCCATTGGAGGTATTACATTCCCGTTATCAGCAGAAATATTTGACAACATTTTATCCGTCTTTCTGCTGTTAGACAACAATAGATCCTTGGGAATACTCACATAATACACAGGTGAATTCTCCCAACAAATTGCCATACCATGTATTTCAAAAAGAACAGTTGAATTAACTTCAGATCTTCTGTTAAAGTGAACATCCAAGTAAAACTCTTGACTATTATCCCACCAGTTTAAAAAAGTGTCAAATCCACCAGGAATGTTGGATGCGTTTATGGGACCTTTGTCCAGTAACCTTTCTTTACTTGCAGTATGTGGAATGCCTCTGTTTTGCTGCTGCTCCCCAAAATTATCGATCTTGTCAACATAACCACTTCTTCCATGGTTAATACTAGATAATTGACAAGATAGGGAAGTGTTTGCATTGTCTACATAATCAGAAGTAGAATTATGCATGTAAGGAGCATTAGGACCTTCCATCACTGATGCAGTCTTGTCGGCAACAACCTCACCTTGCTTGGCACCAGCTGAATTTACCCCAGTAAATGATGTCCTCGCTAACTTCTGTTCATGAGCTTTTGATACAAACCCAGTTATATTGTCAGTTTGCTCATTGTGTTTCAAACCACCAAAGCTACTAGTTGACTCCTCTCCGGAAGAGCTGGATGCTTCTTTCTGTGGTGCATTTCCAGCAGCAATGGATAATAAGGGTCGAGAAAGAGGTGGAACTTCAAGTCCAAGTGATTTGAAAGCTGAGAAAGCAGCAATCCTAGCCTCTTCTGCTTTCTCAAGAACAATCCTTCGTGCACCATTTTTAATCTTCTTGGCAACTCCCAATTGTATTCTCCACTGTGCTGTGCCTTTAATATCCAGTTATCCATGGAGTAGAACCAGGTCAGAGAAAAGTTAGGAGACAAATAATGCAACAAACATGGCAAAGCCAAATAAGCACAATATGCTTTTCTTATTACAAATTTCGCAGCTGCAATACGATTGGAATCATTAGACTGGAAGTCAAAGCCTTGTGATATAACATGTGTATGAATACCTAACTCCACTGTATCCTTTGAAATTTAAGCGGGACACACAACTACCACATACTGAGTTCATGTGGCAAAAGAATAAAAGGGGAAGATAAATTCATAGTCATCTCCATTGATGCAATACACAATTCTAACATTTCCAGTCACTATGGGTATGATAAATTGTCAAACAAAAGAAAAGTCAGATGACATAAGCAGAAGTCGAACTAAACTCAAATGTATAAGAGTGGGGGAAGCGAATAGCCTGTCAACACACTTGAATTCAAAGTGCAAACATGCATATGCTACATGCAATTATTAACTAAATATATAGTAAAGTTAAACTTCATCTACCCAAAATGACAAGCATGTAAGCTAGAAATAACAGAAGGAAGCACATAACCAACAAATATCTCAAGGGATACTACAACATTGTACCTTGTGCAGCCCATGATGAAGATTCAAACAGTGCTTTGGCAATCTCAGGAATTGATGCCTCAGCAATTGTTTGAGGAGTTCGCAGACCAGCTTTATAAAGTGCTCTAGCTCGCGAACCCTAAGTTGTATAGGTTTCTGTTTAGATTCACCTGAAAACCTTAAAAAAGACAATATGGCAATGTAACTAACCTTAACATAGGGTATGGTGGTAAGCTCCACTATCTCGGCCTTAACTCCAAATGAAACACGATTCTGAAACTTGGCAACCAAATCTGCGAGATCATGCCAGCCAAGCCTTTCACAGAAAACAGAAACCATGGATGCAAACCTTCCTGCATTATCTTGTAAAGCTTGAACCATGCCTCTGGCCACTTTAAAAGCCGCACACACCTCAGCAACGGGGACTTCCTAGAACATGAGTATAAAATTATCTTGTTAGGGTATGAAAACAATTATAGGCTTATTGTTTTTAAGAAGATGCATATAATTGAATTAACTTTCACCTGCACAAGTGTCAACAAGATTAGAGCAACATAAAACCGTCTGGACACTCGAAGCATTTGTTCATCTGAAAGCATTGCAGAGTTCCACATTGCAATACAATTTGGTTTTGCCTGCAAGCCTTTGCTGTTATTCTTCAATCTATTAGAGGTGCGAAGTGGTGCTCCATGGGCCATACGCATCAAAAATGGTTCTTGTACTCCAACTCGGTTGCCAACTGACTGCATCTCATATGGGGAAAGAATTTAAGTTGTATGCAAATAAATAACATTGGCAAATGGTTCGCATATTGTCCTAAATACAGCTATCAGTATAAACCAGCTTCAAGATGATGTCATGTTTTATTCTGGATAAGTTCGACCAAGTAAAACATACAGGACCTCACAGGCCAAGCAAAAGCACATAAGACAAGACAATCCCATTGAGAAAAGAACCAAAGATGCTAAGTATAAACAATACAATAGCCTAGATGGAAATAAAAACAAAGAAGAGATACTGTACAGTTATCATGCATCTATGGGTGTCATTTTTTGCCTCAAGTGTTTTGTGCTTTACTTCAAAACCAGCATTCTGGGACATGCATGCCTATACTTCCAGCAATAAAAACAGCCAATTTTGTAACATAATTTGTCATATGAGATGATGCACACCTCTATGGGTCAAACAGTGTAAAACTTGCTAGCACATACGCAACTGAAGATGTTATCCTCCAAAGATGGAGCAGAATATGACATTAACATGGAAGGCCAGTGGAGAATAAGAAGTAAAATTACCTTATCTAGAGCAGACAACTCCATGAATCTTTCATAGTACAACTCCCAGTCTGGCTCAACATCCACATTTGTCGGTGTTACTAAGTATACCAAATGTAAATCAGATGCTAGCACAAATCCATCCCTTGCCCTCGTCAAATCATCCAGCACAATCTAGGAAAAATTAAGAACGTGGAACAGAATGAAATGTTAACAAAGTCACAAAAACTCACATAATACACTTCTCTGGTAGGGCAGAATTACAAAAAGTGGCCTCAAATCAATGTTAAGACATCAAAGGAAAGCAAACCGGAAAAGAGAATGAAGAGATACAGCAGAATCAGAAATTTACCATTGACTCTTCTGGGCTGAGAGAACTGCCAAAAGATGCACGGCCAAGAGGAGTTGTGGTATACAGCTTAGTGTCTTCACTCCATTCAAGAAACTTTTTATGGCATAGCCAGCGGAGAGAATCCTGTGCTGATCTCACAACATCTCCAAATGGTTTTGTTGAGTTGAGAAGTGTATACCTTACATATCGATGTATATCGTTAGCAGTTTGAACAATCCCACCAGCAACAACTTCCAATATTGCATGGGTCATCCCATTTTTATCTTCTGACAAGCAAGAATACAGTGCTGGACAGCCCTCATTTAAGATCCCCAAAATTCTTTTGGTCTCTTCTGGCTTGCAAATTAGAACCTGTATCCAGAAAGTTAAAGATATAGAATCAAGATGACACTTTTTAATTATATAGGTGATATTACAATAGAAACCAAAGATTAGCCAAACAAATAAAAAAGCTCCAAAATGAAAAAGTAAACACCAAGAAGGAAATAGACAATAATCCCTCCACACCAAGTTGAATGCCTTAAAATTTGTACACATTCTCTCTCATTTATTCATTTGCTCCCCACAGAATAAGTATTTAAGAGAACTGAAGTTGGTTTCATACCAAACATGGAATACAAGAAAAGAAAGAATCTACAAGTAATTTCATTTTCTTGAAAGCAAATCAGTGGATGGGAAAAGAACATCACTAAGTCCAGTTCAGAAACAGGAAATGCTCTCCAACAATTTCATTTTCTTCAGATCAAATCAATGGATGGGGAAAAGGACACCATTTAGTCCAGCTCTTAAACAGAAAACACTCTCCAATTTTGGACATGATAACACACAAATATTGCTATCAGTTAAATAGGTGATATCAAAAGCTAGCACTAAAGGACTAAACTTACACTCTCTCCCTTTGTATCTATACCAGTCCGACCAGCTCGGCCAGCCATCTGCCTGTATCTTGTCCCATCAATAAAATCACGACCAATACGAGGTTGCCGGAAAATGACTCTCCTTGCAGGCAGGTTCACACCAGCAGCCAATGTAGATGTTGCCGTTAAGACCCGCACAAATCCTTTACGGTAACATGTTTCAACAGTTTCCCTTTCTTCAACCTTCACAATTACAGATCCAGCATGTCAGGAGGAAACTATAGGATGGATATTGCAGATAACTAGAAATATATGAGAATTGGCAAAAAGAAATACAATTCCTCACAAAAGGCAAGACCACAAAATCCACTATAGATAAGTTCAACAAGAGAACAGCAACCAATGCTAGCATAAAATTCATTCCAAAAGACTAAAATTGAAAACACACCGTAAGGCCAGCATGGTGATAGGCTACGCCAGCAGGAAGAGTCTCTTCTAGTACAGGATCTAAACCTGCCGGAGATCTACGCAAGGCATCAATAGCAAATTCAAGATCCATTAACTCATTCTGACCATTCTGGGGGCTGACAGAAAACTTCTTAAGGTACTTTACAACATGTCTAGCAGTTGACTCGCATCCTTTCCGACTCGAGCAAAATATCAAAACTGAGTGACCTTCTTGAACAATCTCATTGCATAATTCAACGATATGATCTGGATCTTTACCACCAATATCAGCTATTTTAGGAATTGTCCTAACGATGTTCATTTCTTTGTTATAGATGGTGTAACCCACTTTAATGTATTCTTCCAGTGGAACAGGCCGAAAATCAGTCTCATAGAGAGCAGCCTGCTCAAAAGACAATAAAAAGATCAGTTACAAAGTACAACACACAGCCTTTTATTTTTTTTCACCAAACGAGGTAGCACTCTGGAACACCTAAAGACAGAACACCTACATACAGATACATATAAACAAGTAAACCAGTGTATGCATGTTAAAAGGAAATTGTTGTACAGTGTATGATTTCATATTTAAAATTGTCGAGTACTCACGCATTGGCTTTGCGCATTACATACTGTCAAATGTTTTTCAAATAACATTTGTGAGGTATCCTTGTCAGTGCAGGTTTAATAAAACACGACACTTGATTCACCTAGTCATCGAGGAGCTTATAAAGCATGTTCCAGTTCCATATCGTCTACTCCCATTTGTGAGGTATTATCATTGCAACACCAGCAACACAAAGAAAAGCACGATAACAAAAGCACAATTGTGAGAATGCTGCCTACAGCAAACATGACATTCAAAAATCAACCTTTGGATCCCTTACCGTATATCTGATAGCCAAAGAGTTACAGAGTTGATTTATTATTTTCTAGTATTCTATGAGATGATAAACAAAATAATCGGCCATTAATTTTAATCTGCAGAGATATTAGGGTCTGCTGAGATAATGTTTCCGAAATTTTGAACTTGAGTACCAATTTAATGGTCAATCGATGTTACAAAATGTTAGACAAGTTAAAATAGGAAAGAAACATTTGTTGACTCAATAACAAAATAATAGGTTCCAAGTCACGTCAAATGGTTTTTTATTTTCTGGATTTTAGAAAGCATTTTCCTACCATTTGATCCCTCAATTTTAATATGAAGATCTGACCTCAAAAATGAAAAGGGGAAAAAATCTCGCCACTGTTTAAAGCCAAATGAAGATGCCCAACTCTTATAAAAATCAAACATAAGCAAATGTTATCAACATTAGAAGTTCAGTGAAGAGGCCAAACTCTTAATTGTACAGATATAGATCAGTATAAAACTTTCAATATTGTTTCAACCAGTAGAATTGATGACTGAACACAATATGTCTCCACATTAATTCATTAATTATTTCATTGTAAAATAGTCTTGAATAAAGCATATTAGGCAAGATCCTAAAGCCAGTTCATAAAAAGATGCATCCTGACCTAAGAGCAATCTTCACAAAAAGCAGATAATCTGTCTAATCAAATTACTTAAGTGCATGACAGATTTTTTTTTTTTTTCAATTTCATATTATCATTTGAGGAGCTGCTTCTGCCAGAGTAAATCGTCAAGAAAGACTGCAAAATTCATCTGATGATCTGCATGTAAAGAACACACACAGCAATGAGATACCACATACTTGAAGCCAGTCAGCTACTGCAGCTACATTCGGCAAAGTTGCACTCATCCCAACAATTTGGAGACCACGTACAGGGTCAGCTTTACTGCTGCCTGTACCTGAACTTTCCCCACTAGATGATTCTGCACTGCCTTCACCTGCTGCATAGCGAAGTTTGGTAAGCAAAAGTTCCAATAGATAACCCCTATGCTGGTCACCAACCTGCCAGAAAAATGCATGATGTTATGCTATGAACACAAAACATGTAATTGATTTGTGAAACACATAACTATGAGAGAGCAGAATAAGCTTTGTTGCAGCATTACAAAAAAACTAAATTGAAAACATACCATGTGTAGTTCATCTATCACAATGATACCAAGTTCTGAAAGACGACCCTCTTCTAACAGTCTGTTAATTAAGGAGTTTGCTTTCTCAATTGTGCATACTGCCACAGAGGTATCCTTAGGAAGAGTTGCACCACCTTGATTACCATAGTAACTACGTACTTGCTTACCAAGTGGCTCCAAAAGCACCTCAAGATGTTCGGCCTGCATCAGTTAGATACTAAATAAACACAAGACAAGTATATCAAGTCCTCGAGAAAGCTATTTGTAGAACAAAATCCAAACACCACCTTTTCTGCACATATAGACACATATGGCAGAACAAGAAGTGCCATTTTTCCGGTTGACAGGATTCGTCGTAGCATCAGTATCTCAGCAACAAAACTTTTGCCAGCACTACAGGAAACAAAGAGGAAAATAAGGATAACCTGGACAAACTTATCGAAGTATCTTACATATGCAATGCTTTTTGCTTGTTTAATCAATTAGAGAAACCCCCGGAAACCTCAATAATGAATGCATCCAAATGTACAAATTAGAAAAGAGCAGTTAAGGAAAGACTATGGACAAATTAAAGCATAAAAAAGGAAAACAGAATAGCATGTGGTAAGAATTAATTTCAACTAAGTTTTACAGTAACAAAGATCATGGTATAAGTAGAGATTACGTAGATATAACAGTTAACATCATGCTGAAAATATCACTGTAGCATTGTATTTTGTGAGAAGTATTCCATTTTCTCTGAAAGTTAATGCTTCTCCGGGAGTTTCAGAAGTTAACAATATCAGTAGACGATAAAGCTTAGATGGATGTTCAAAGAAAGCAACATTTGGAAAATAGTTGGTAGTAGAATGACCAATTTCACTGAAGGTATTGAAATGAACTACAAATTGATTTGCAAAATTACCTTGTAGATGCAGAGTATACAAGATTCCTGTTCTGCAAAACACCATCCACCTGAAGGCAGTCAACCTAAAGAAAAAACAACAATCTTAACTCAACTGTTAGATGAACCATCTTAATGTGCCATGAAATGAAATCTTAAGTCACTAATTCCTAAAAATAGCATAGGATAAGGACCAAATAGAGGTGAAAATAAAAAGGTAAAACATCACCTAACTTCATCTATTAAGTCCTATCAAACCACTATGCCAGCACTATAACAGATGAATCTCCAAAATCCAAGGCTGCTTTCAGATTTAAGACAGTTTACAACATGGAAAATGAAGTACAGACACCTAGCACAATATGATCAACCAAGACAATGACACCTGTTCTGATAAGTAATTTATCAAATTCTTTAGACACGGAAAGAAAGATATGCCAAAACAACACATGAACCCAGATGTTAGTTGCCAACATATTAGAATGCAGAGGCTTCTAGCACAGATCCTATAACAGCAATAGCAAAACTTGTCCATTCTAAGACTTTACAAAACATTGACCTACAGCCAACATATGATTTGCATCTATGAGCATAGATCCATAGTACAGGAACACAGGTTCTCAATCACCCATCAATATATCTCTTCATGAGTTCCCCTTCTTCTTGTCGTTATATAAAAGGGAAGACATCATGTCTATATTACATATTACATATCTTTTCTTGCTTAAAAACCAATCAACAACATAAACATCTCACATTGTTTTTACCCTAGAAACGAGCCAACAAATAACAGAACCTAAGTTAACATGAAGTATGGACCACAATAACAGAACCTAAGTTAACATGAAGTAGGGACCAACCAATTGGTCCAAAGCATTAGTGCCAACGGTAGCAAACTAATATTGATAGCACTCACCAAAGGTGAAAGACATACCTGCCATGGATACAATTTTGACATTCCTCTTTTCTTATATATGCTGCATAATTCAGAAGGCAGCCAGTTGTTGAGGTCCAAACGATCCTCAAGTGGTAAAAAGCTTGAAGGACTATCATCTTGATTGAAGCCACCTTTAGGAGTTAAATCATTCAATCTCCTATCCTTTGTGGTAAACATGTCACTGTGATCTTGCGCCCAAATATTCAACTTATTTTCAGTGGCATCATATTTGGATATCATATCTTGTACTCCAAGCAAATCACATTCTGTATGAGCAGCATTATGCTGAGGGCTCAAATTGTGACAAATTTGTTTATTTTCTTGATTTTGGGACGCACAACCAGGTGTTTTTCCTTTAATAATATGTTGTGAGCTTAAATTAACATAAGACGGGGTTTCCTCATCCATGTTGTTGTCCTCAATCTTAGAAAAATCAAAATGCTTTACAGGAAGTGGAGAAACTTCTTTAACCAAATCTTTGCTGTGCTTCAATAGTGGTCCAACAACAGAATTAATTCCACCATTAGAATCTCTGGCAACACCTGCATCCAGCAAGTTATTCAACTTATTGCCACAACCTCCACCTGGTAAATTATTTGCCATACTTGTCTCTTTATCAGGCTTCAAATGTTGAGATTCTAAAGCAAATTGGGAATGCAAATTATCTTTAGGAATAAGCAAACCATCAGCAACTTGAATTGCTTCCTTCCAGAAAGTTTCTCCAGGTGAAAATATGGAGCTTCCGCGTCCTGACTTGGGCGTTTCAGGACGTCCAAGTTTACCATTGAGTGAACCAGGTGTAATACATCCAGCTGCATCAATGGTCAAAGAGGCATTTACACATCTCTTCAAGCTTGTTCCAGGTACTGTTTCATTATCACCCAATTCTATCTGCAAAAGTCATGTAATGACATACACAAACTTCAAAACTATCGGGGTAAATTAGGTCATAGAAGTAATTCTAATAGATACTCACCTTTGTGGAGCATTTGGAAACAGCATTTCCAGATTCATCAATAATTGCACTCTGCAGGGGCTTGCTATGTACATCTCCAGAACAAGTACCTTCACCTTCAACATGCAACTGACTCATATTAATATTGCAATGCCTTCTCTTATATGATCTATCCTCTGAATCAAGTGCAGATGGACTACCATGCCTTTTAATTGCGTGTACATTTGTTTCTGATGGTACACTTGCACTACAAGGCAGACAGCAGAAAGGATAGGATATGAATTATGATAGAAGAGACAACAGGGATGAGCACCAACTAATTGTCAGTAACAGCAGATGAACAGAATTTGTCCTATGTATTTATCATCTCAATTAACTATGGATTCACTGCTAAAATAAAGCCAATACCTGCAATACAAGGACAAAAAATTCGTTGCAAACCGCTTTAATTCCGGGTTTTCAGCTTCTCCAGCTGGTGCATTTTCTGGAACTTCCTTACTTGCTCCAGCTACAGAACCACCAAAATCATTCGAAGTTTCAGAATTTACCCTCTGAGCATCTCCAAATAAATCAAGACCTTGAGAACGGACTTCCATCGGCAAAAGAGCATCTTTCTTTTCATCTTCAGAAGATAAACTAATCTCCAACGTTAAATTTCTCTTAATTGGAACTCGCTTAACTGGTGATTCGCTAGCTGCCCGATTAGGGCTATTTTTGTTCTCCTCTGAACCTACTAAAAAATTATCCAAAGAGCCTTTGGTACCAGGAGATCCTTCAACTGCAATCTTTGCATCTTTTCCAACTTTCTTGGACTTCACACTTGGTGATATAGCCTTCCTCTTCTTCTTCGAAGCAAAGAACTGTCCACAACAACAAATAAACCCAAAAACAAAAACCATAGATAAAATTCAGCCAAATAAATCACGCAATCAAAATTTACAATCACAAAATTAATTCAAGGTGACAAGAGGAGGAATTTTACCTGAAAGTACCATAAAAACCTCACCTTTACTGAAAGATTCTTAACAATCATACTATTTTTTAATGCCAAATTGTATGAAGAAGTTAAATACAAGAGAATTTTCCCAGATAACTCAAAACCCAGAAACAATATGCTAAAAGAATCCAAAAAAGATCAAATTTTTACAGAAAAAATGCATAAATTTTTTGACTCTAGCATAGCCATACATAAGTTTACATATCCCTTTTGTCCTCATCATTTTATGACATTAAGGATGGAGAAATACGGATACCTGGTCGATTCGGGCTCGAGGGGAATCCCCGGACGCCATGGCCAAGAACTGTAAAACGTAAGGGATTAAGGCTTCACGAGGCCTGAATTCTTGAAAACACGAAATGAATTAAGATAAATCCAGTGGAATTAAACATGTGGAAATCAACAAGATTCAAGTATAAACCCATTCTTAGGCTGCCTAGAAAACATCCCAGAAAGTGAATACTGTAGGGGCGGGGCGAGGGAGGGACCTTTCTGGGCTCAATTCAAATGTTTTGGGTATTTGCTATAGTGCCCCGCTATCTTATCAAATTTGATTGGCAGTTTTACGGACTGGTCCCCCAAGTTAGTAATTAATGGCACCGAGAACATCGCGAGATATGTCATTTTGCTATATGGGACATGGAGATTAGTTAAGTATGGGTACATTAAAATAGTAACAATGTATAGAAAGTGTAGGCACCAAATTGCGCTTTAGAGGTGGAAACACGCACAATTTTTGCTTTGAAGCTGGAAATATGCAGAATTGAACTATGGACATATGCACTAAATAAACCGTAATTAGTAACTAAGCTAGAATGATTCAATTTCTCATCACCTGTATCACTTTTTTTTTAAAGCACCTCTCCGTAATAGAAAAGAAATACTCCAAGTGTTATTATTCAAGCGGCGGCCTTCATGTGTTGGTTTAAGGGTGTTTTGATAAGTTATGATAATATTTAAACTTTTTCTTAGCAATTTGTATTATTTTGATATGGAAGCATTTTTTCACATTGATGTGGGCAAAATATGTTTCTGTGTATCTTACAAGTTGAATTAAGTTACTCAATACTCAATAAAAGCTTATCTGATCTTGGTTCACCGACTAAATCAAGTGAAGAATTAACAAAATTTAGTATTTATTAAAATCATGTGCTTAGTGAGAATTTATTTTAATTAGTATAAGATTAAAAAATTCATACGTAAATAGTTGAAGATACGAGCTTGGTCTCATAAAAGCTCATGAAGTTCAACTCGGTTTATATACATGTCAAGTTTGAGCACAATTTCAAATTTATTAAAAATACACAAAGAATATTGAACATTGTAGTTTTGGCAGTAATTAGGCTCATGTACATCCTTAATCCTTACCAGTATTCTTTATTCAACATTATCTTCTACTTCTATTCCTCTCTGTTATGTTGCTATGCGTTGCTGGTTCTTATTCTCTTCTCCCTTGTTATGAATAACTCGTTTCCTTATTCATTATGTTTTTCTTACCTTTCTTGTGTTTTATTGCTCATGGTTGTGCTATCGAAGTTTTCCATTATATTCTACCTCTTTCGATGCATTTTGATATTTTGTCGCAAGTGTTCTTTCCTAACAAAGCATATGTCATTATTTTGTTTATGCAATTGTCAGTGGCACTTCTTTTGACATTTTAATTACATATCTTATTTGCTTTAAGGAATTGTTAATGGCACTTCTTTTTGACACTGAAAAAATCTATACTAAACAACATATGATTTAAACAACAAAAACAAATAAAAAGATGTCTCACCTCCTTGATTTTAGAAATTCTCATATATGTGTCTATTGCTTAGGGATATCATGGGGTCCGTTTGGATTAGCTGTTTTTGGGGTTGTTTTTCAAAAACAATACTGTAGCATTTCGTTTATGAAATACAAATCCGTTTGGATTAGTTATTTTTGGGGTTGTTTTTCAAAAACTATATGAAAAACTTTTACTGTAGATGTTTTTTGGATTATTTTTAGAGGTATTTTTAAAACATATTTTTGAGTATTTTATAATTTATAATTTTTATATTTTTATATTTATATACATTTATGCATTTATAAAACATTTATAAATAAATATATTTATATATTTATATAAAAATATATCAATATATTATAAATGTATTATATTATACATAATACATAATATAAATATATTTATAAATGTATAAATGTATATTATTATAAATGTATAAATTATAAATGAATATTATATAAATGTAAAAATTATAAATTATAAATTATAAATTTTATATTTTTATATAAATATATGTTTATGCATTTATAATACATTTATAAATATTTATAAATAAATATATTTATATATTTATATATATTATAAATAAATATATTATATTATATATAATACATAATATATATTTCGAAATGTATAAGTGTATATTATTATAAATATATAAATTATAAATGAATATTATATAAATGTATAAATTAATATATCATAAATATATATTAATATTATGTATAAATGTATTAATATAATTAATATAAATATATAAATGTATTAATATTATGTATAAATGTAAAATTAATATTATGTATATTAATATAAATGTATAAATGTTTTATAAATGTATTATATTATATATAATAATAATATAAATATATATTATAAATATACATAAATATATATTATGTATAAATGTACATTTATATAAATGTATAACCTATATAATATAATATATATTATATTATATATAATTTTATAATATATATTTTTAATATAAATATATTATAAATATATAAAAATATGTATTAAATAAATAAATTATATATAATATGAATAAATAAATATATAAATATATTATTTATAAATATCTAATATATATAATATACATTAATATTAATTATAAATATTTGAATATTAATAAATATGGTGTTTATATAATATTTCAATTTGTAATATTTATTGTATATTTCATTATATAAATATATAATATAAAATTTTGCAATTTGTATAATATAAATAATATTGTATATATATAATATAATATACATAATATACATTTATACATTATTACATATTATGTATATTATATATTATACATAACATTATTATACACAATAATGTGCATAATAATGAAAGTACATTAATAATGTATATATTATAATATAATGTACATAATATATTATGTATAAATATTTATACATTTATTTATACAATATTACATATTATGTATATTATATTATATTATGTATAATATTAATGTATATAAATATTTATATAATATATAATATATAACATATATAACATATAAATATATAATTTTCAAATTGTATATTTCAATTTATATTAATATAATATATATATAATATAAATAATTCAAATATACATATTAAATTTGTATATTTGGAGTTGTTTTTGATATAATGTTTGGATAGGGTGATGATTTACAGGTATTTCAATAAAAATACCCCTATAAATTCATTAAACTTATAATGAAAAGTATAGGCATTTTTATCCTTTCATGTGAGTTAGAAAAGCTATAAGGATTGTTACTAACAATCAAAAGAGTACAAATATCTCTCTTTGCTTATTTAGATCATCATTTATGACACTTTCAATAAGCCTCTTAATTTGTATTTCTTTTTTTCATTTTTGAAATGTTCCTTTTTTGCAACTTTTGTTGCTTTGTATTTTATATCTCATTTGCTTATATCCGCCTATGGATTATGTCCTATGTTAATTAGCTTTTTGTATCTTTATGTTCTAAATTTCTTTTTTATTCGTACTATATTCATGGATACAAATTTTGATCGATACACTTTTTGTGTTAATACTATTTGAATTTATATGTTTTCATTATTCTTGAATTGTACCTTGTATTGAATGGTTTTCAGTTTATTCATACCAAAAGAATTCCCCAATACAATTTATTTCAAATTTAAGTTTTTAATGTCATTGAATTTAAAATAATTTGATATATTGCCTCTAATAAATTACTATTAGATGAATTAAGAGTTTTTCCAAAGAGAAAATAACTCTTATATCCAAATAGGCAAAAGAACTTCATCCAAAATAAAATAAAAAATTCAATCACCTCAATAAAGGAGATTTGTCTGAGGAAAACTAAAAAAGTCAACCGAGAACCTTCGTTGTTTTGGAAAAAAAAGGACCAAGAATGTTTGTCCAAAGTCAAATTTGAACCTTATTGCCCTTATAAAGTGATAATTAGGTATTTTTGGAACTCTCTCATAGTCTTGAAATAAAAAATGCTTCCAGTAAAATAACAGTGCCTTACTACTAACTTTGTTTATTGTTGTGTATGAATGTTTCTATTTTTTATATATGGATATTTATATGTTATATATATATATATATATTACAAAGTATATTTGGTAGTATTTGTCTATATATTCATATCATCAATAAACAAATTTCTTAATCAACATTTTGTTCTTCCTATTTGTATTTTCTTCATAACAAATTTATTAAACAATATGCTCTATGTACAGGTGTACATGCTTACTGCCTATGTTAGCCTAACAGCTAATCTTATTATTGGAAAAATATTTTTCAAAAGCAATTCTTTATATTGAACATATTTGCAAACAATGCCTACAAGTTTTGAAAATCTTATATAATCCTCTTATATATATGTTTAAGGTTTCGAAAGCTTTTTCTTTGGACCTTAAGGAAAAAGGAAGTGAGAGACAAAGATGATATTCAAAATGGTAGGTAGGCAGAGAATAGCTTAAAAAAAAGGAACTGAATTAAACATTATTCAAGAAAACAATTAATTTTGGATCATTTTGACGTGGAAAAGCTGAGAAATGAACTCTTGCGCAATTATACTTTCATGATTAAGGTCAAGAACATTAAGAGATTAGTTGGTATGGCATCGGAGTCAAATTGTGGCACCAATTTGACTATATTTTCATATTCGAACCGAGTATCAATTCGGCTGAACTTAGGGGTCAGGAGTCAATGAATTCGACAGGATTTAACTAGGAATCGAATCGGATGACATCATAAATATATAGTAATGATATATAAATAAAATAATATATAAAAAATTCCCTATAAATTGGTGGTTTACAACTTTACATACATATTTCATGAATTTAAATTTAGTCCTAAAGGATTGCCCTTAAAAAACTTAAAGGCTATAGGTAACATTGTAGTTTAAAAAATATAAAGGATTAATTATACTTATTAAAATAATATGGGATCAAAATAAATTATTAAAAAAATTTTGGAACTTTCCAAACCTAATGCGTTGTTAGCCTGCCATCTCTATTCTTTTCTTTTCACTTTGTCCTAGTTTCTTCTTCTTCCTTCCTTTCATCATAACTCTTTTCTTATCTTTTATTTCTCACAAATCAAATACACATGAAATCTCTCTTTTTCTTTGTTATTCACACGTTTCCCTCCTTTCTCTTCTCTTCCATTCTTTACTCTTTTCTTTTTTTTCTCCTCTGATTTGATTTGAAATATTTCAAGAACTAAGTTGCAGGAAATTGGGTTAAAAAAATTTAGGGAATGAATTTTTTCTCTTAATTTGGATCGTTTCTCTTAGAGCTGGTCAAAGATCAAAAGATGGAAAAAAAAGAATAAAAAAAAAGAAGAAGAAACCAATATTAACTAGAAATTGCAATTATCAGTGTCAAGACCAAATCCAACGTTGCGGCATGTATCACACACAATCTTCTCATAGTCAACATTTGCTTTGGTGGTGATCTAGTGGGGTCCCCCACTTCCCCCTAAGGCGAACCAAAGGGTTGGCGGGCCGTCTGCCCAACTCTCGCCAGGACTCACGCAAACATTCTAACCCAAAACCTTTCGAAGAATAACCTAATCTATTACAAAACAATTCCTCCGAAGAAGACCGTCACTAAAACCACATTAACTTCAGAGATAGCAGTGATTTAAAATAGCCAAACGACGGCTCCTAAACATGTCACGCGCTGCGAAATTGCGGAAAAGAATTGTACCGTCCCAACTAAGAAAAAAATTCATACAACAAAATACAACAATCAAGCCAAGCATCCAAAATTAAGTTTTACACATTTTTCAGTTTCAAGTGGCAATCCAAAATAAAAGTACATTATCCAAATTTAACACGCTACAGCCCACACAAATAGTCATAGTATACAAATACATTCCAAAATGAAACATGGATAAGTTTCAAAACTTTCAATTTCCAGAACCTGTCAAGGAAAACAAATAAACGTGGGGTGAACTAAAGCTCAGTGGTGCCCCAAAACATGCAGTCACGTAAATCAAACAGCGAGTAATAATTGAACCAAATTGAACAGTTAGGAAAGCGTATAACAGCACAAGGTAGGATACAGGGGCTCTCAGGAGCCATTTTCCTCGCTTGGTCACCATTCATCGTAGTTGACCCTCCGTCAACTCTCACTACTTATAGTCCATGTAGATCCACTCATTTTAATCCTAACCCGTCACCGTTCATACCCCTGTCCCGGGCCCGCTCGCCGACTAAGGACGCAGTATACTCGAGATATACCCGTAGATGATTGGTCGATGGATTCACCCAACGACATTATTATAGTTAGATTCATGCGTCGAGGGATTCACCCAACGACGTAACTACATTTAGATTCATGGTAGTTGGATTCAGAAGTCGAGAGATTCACCCAACGACGCAACTACATTTAGAATCAAGAATTCAGGAGAAAAATGTTTTGCACAAGTCACCACTCGAACGGCTAGTGCGATAAAGTACACACAGCTCACTTCGATGGATCAAAAACCAGTTTTGCAACTTATCACATATCGAGTCAAGAAAGCACTTTAACCAGGTAAGCATAGAACAAGCAGGGACACTCACCGAGAGTAAGTTCAGATATCAAGTTGGGAATCGAATTCCGCGTCCTCGCAATATCCTAAAAACCAAAATTTGAAACTATAAGTTTCTACTCAGTTTTTAAGCTTATAGACATCGAGATATACCTAATATACTACTAGTTTACTTCTCTTAGAAAAATTAAGAATCCACTTAGGATGAAACTTGACAAAAGTAGTAAAAATGTTTCTTATAGTTTTCCTTGAGATACTTTTCCTTATAAAAGGGTAACTAGAATTATTTTCTTGAAATAAGTCGACAAACCTCTTAATATCAAAGCTAGAAAGATATATTTGAAAATTTCTTTGAAGCTATGGTTCTTGCAAAAATTATCACTAAAAACTGTTTTTTTTTTAAAATAAGGTTTCTTGCCGAGCAAGTTTCTATGCTTTTAACTAAAATTATTAAAATTCTTATTTCGGAACTTTTCCTACCGACAACTATCCAGGTGCAAAAACTTAATGAAAGAAAAGGAATTAAAATAAGACTTAGGGTTTTTCAGAAGCTAGAGAATTTCTTTACTATAACTACCAATGCTAGTTTGAGCTAAAGGAAATATCGGGTTGGAAAAATTTAGGCAAAACACTAGATACTAAGTTTTATAATCTAATACTAGCTGGAAAATATTTTTGATTAATTTGATCACAGTTACTCGAGTTCGCAAGGTAGAAACGACTTCCACAGCTCCGATTCCGTTTCGAAATCATATTATGGATCAAATATGGCAAAATCACATAGCAAATCACTAGGGCTTCGTCAATCATTAGCCCTAGATTTCAACAATTGCATTTCTGATAAAAATAAAATGAATGACCAAGGCTTCATCAATCATTAGCACTTGGTTTCAGCAAGCTCAGCTTAAACAAATAAAAATAAAAGCAAGGCCTCCAAGAAATTCTAGCAATTAAATTTCATCACCCAGTAATACTTATAAAATCATTCAAATGGCCAAGGGCTTCATCAATCATTAGCCCTTGACAACATCAATCACTTCCAACCACAATTCAATCAAGAATTTAAACCACAAGTAAGCTAAAATCTCAATCCAAATCCAAATTCAGTTTCACGAAGAAACAGGACATTCATACAAAACAGTCTACTTTGAGGATTCACAGACAGCAGTATCCATGGAGGAAAAATACGAAATTTCTACAGAACAAAGGCCTATGATTCTAGTTTCAAATGCCACTGACGGCGCCTTAAACGGATTTTCCTACACCAAGATATAAGCATTTTATTGAGACTGGTCAGGGACATCCGAAAATCTGAAATTTCAATTTTTCACTTGTGAAAACTCCTTTTTCTCTTTTAACACCAAAATGTTTTTATTCAAACCATCCATACATTTCTTATAGAACTCCAAAATAACATATTCCAGGCATTTCCATCCATCATGATTCAAGGAAAAATTACAAACCAAGCTAAGATTCCAACTCAACCTTTGACTATCACATAAGAAATTCCAGCAACTAATATACTTTAGATCAAATTTTCCTTTGGTTTAAACCTGGTGTTAGGTACCCAAATTCAGCATTTAACACTTAGCTAGCTAGTAAAAATTTCCACTTCAAAACCAGATTCATTCAGCAACTAAATCATCCAGAAATATCCAGAAATTTGTCCATCAGCCACGGATGAACATGCATGAAGAGACGTTCTCTTTTCATTTTATTTTATGGGTTAAAACATGCTTTTAAACTCTCAACTCCCTCATGCAATTACTTAGCTAGAAAATAAACATTTCCAGTTTAGAAATCGAGTTCAAACAACAACCATTAACATCAAAATTTTCTAAAAATTTTCCTGCTTGGCTCGGATGAACATGCATGGGCAGATTTGCACTTTGATTTTATTTTTCTGGTTTAAACTAACTAATTAGCTGCATGCAGAGCCTAATTAACTTGTTATTAACTATCTAATTATGGTTATAAGCTCAAACTACAACATTAAACCAAATCAGGCTGCAAAAATCAAGCTAAGCTCTCGGCAGTTTCCATACTAGCACATAACAGAAATTCTTTTCTTAAAAATCTCATCCGTATGCCTAACCCCCACATGCAAGTTCTTAGATGACTTAACCTTATTGTTATTAGTTGGTTAAACACTTAATTGAGCTCAGATTATCGCAGGAAGTCAGAAATAAAACTACAATCCCAAGCCAGCTCCTCGGCAGAAATTTTTAACCACAACAGAAATTTTTCTCTGCTTTAACCACATCATCCGAATGCACAAATCAACATGCATGGTCTTAATCTTCAAGTTTTCACTCAGCTAATGACACTTAGGTGTTCAGATTGCCACGGATAACAAAAATGGAGTTGCAATATCACTTCAGTTTCTCGGCAGCAACATTTTAACCGAACAGAAATTTTTCTAATGGTTTGATTTCAACATCCGACTGCACAATCCTTACATGCAAGCTCAGATATAGCTTCCTCTACTAGTAATCAACCTAATTGGTCCGGAAATTACCTCAGATAACAGCTAATCTCGCACACGAAAATTCCAGAATTTTCCTTCCTTGCTCTCGGCTTCAAGTGCAGTCGGTTGTCCTGGTTCCTGAGTTGCGGCTGAGAATTGGTTGCAGCTGGTGGATTTGAGTTCGGTTGGTTGGAGTTGGTGGAGATGGGGGCGCAGAATGGTGAAGTTTCACTGAAAATTTCTCCCTGGTTTTACTCCAGTTCACGGCAGAATCCAGAAAATTTTTGCAGCTCACGTTCCCTCCTCCCTTGCTCTCGGATGCAGCTCACCAGGTAACCCTCTCTCTCTCTCGTATACTCTCGGTCTAGGCAGAGGAAGAGGTGAGGGGTGGTTGTAGAGAGGAAGTGCCGTGGTTGCGGTGGAGTTGTGCAGAGGAGATGGAATTGGTGAAGAGGCGGTATCTGGTATTAAGAAGGAAGGAAATGGTTTGCGGTAAGTGCTATGAGAAAGGATTGAGTGATATTAAGAGTATTGTGGTGCCGTGGTTTAAGATGTGAAATGGAGGTAATGGTATAAGGTGCCGCGGTTTTAGGAGCAGAGGTTTCGTGTATTAGAATCGATTGCGTATAGAATTGGTGATAGTTGCGGTAATTGAACTTGCGGTCAGAGGATTGGTTTGGTTTGCATGGAATGGTAAGGGCATTTTAGTCTTTTCACTTTGCTCCCTAACCTCAACTTAATTTCTCAATTCTAACTTAATTCTAAAAATTATCCCCAAGCGTGATTTAAACGCCTAATTATACCCTAATATACCTAAACCATTTTTATCGAATAATTATCGATTAAACTTGAATATTAAGGTTCCTAGTAATTCTTATATTATTTAGCGATTAAATTAGTTCTTAGAATTTCCAATTATTGTTTCTCAAGGAATAGAGTTAGTCTAACTCGAAATTTATTGATTTAGTAATATAAAGTCAAGTGAAATAATAATTTAATCCAAGGGTGTCAATTTGTACAAAAAAAATTATTTTTACGCACTTATTGTGAAAACAACAAAAGATAAGGATATATTTATCGAAATTTTCACGCCTTAAGTATGTTTAGTATATTAGTACTATCTTTATCTAAAATTCATTGGTTTTCATCTTAACGCGGAAATTCTTATTAACATTTAACATTAGCAACTAATTGGAATAAATCATAGGAACTTAAATAACTTATTTTAAGATAGTAAGTCTATCGACTCAAGTATCATTAATTTATCATAAAGGAATTTAAGCGTTCTAAGACTTTATGTTAAGGCAAAAATCAATCTAACCCTAAAGATTTTAATTTAGTCTAATCAAACCAAGAAATTTCACAACTTAGGAAAATTATATTATTTTTCACATAAACCTATTTTTACGTACTTAATTGCGAACAAGTAAAAGTAATGCTGGAAATTATTAAAGAATAAAAGAAATGCAAATGAAATATGCACTAGCTTATATATCCATTTTCAGGGTTCTCACAGATCTCACCAAAAACCATTAACATGTTGGTCTTGGTGCAAGTCTCGCAATAAACTTTGTTGTCAGGATCTTGTTCAAGGAAGGCATCAAGCACTGCATCAAATATCTAATCATAGATCTTGTCTAGTTGTCCCTCATTTATAGATTTAGAGGTGAACAAGAAGGTATCCATCCTTTAAACCTTGAAAAAAGACGAACCCAACAGCAAAGGTGAGACAAGAGAGATTTGGTTGGACCTCTTCTAGGCACGCCTCAAATGCTTGCAAGGAAGAAGAACCATTGGGAAAAATGAAAAAAATTGGGTTCTTTTCGGTTCTAGCGGTTTTCAGTCAAACTCAAGTTTTGATCGGGTTTGGCTGATTCTTTAACTAGCGATTTTTTTAGGAGACTCGGACCGGATGTCTGGTCGATTCTGGATTCAATCGGTTAGTTCGATCCAAGTTTAAAGACACTGCAATTTGATACAAAACAAAGTGACAAAAGTAACAAAACCAATTTCTCACGTTAACTAGACCGAAACATCAAAACTTAAATACATAAACCTTGAAACGATAACTTAAATAGAAGCAAATTTAATTAAAGATATTTTGCTTAATAATTAGTTGTCTTGACTATAAATAAGCTAATACTAATTACTTATTTCATGGATAATTTTTAGCAAATTAAACTTAGCCTTTTCAAGTTTAGAGTTTTGAATGTATAAAGTTAGATAACTATGAACAAGTGCTACTACATCAGGCCATTTACTTGGACTAGATATAGCATTGTTTGTTACCCATAATCTAAACTATATCCAGAACTTTTGGTTCCACTAACTTTATGTACTTCTTGTGCATATGGAACTCTTGAAAAACTAATGCTATTATTGATACACACTACATAACTCTACACACACACAACAACTTCCCCTGACCCTTCCATCTTTTTTTTTTTTTTCGGCACAGGGGGTGTCCGGGTCAATCCTTACGGGGCCCGACTAATCCCCCTGCGCTCCGGGAGAGAAGGCCCCACTCCATACCGCTTCCACCTTTCTCTCGATCCCTTATTTTTCAACTTCACACACTAGCACACACTACACATACTTACACACAAGCTCTCTCTCTCTCTCTCTCTCTTTCTCGACTCACACACACAACATACACGAATTCTCAACAAATAAAAGAGGAAAGAAGAAAAGGTAGGAAAGGAAAATTTCCCAAAAAAAAAAGAAGAAGAAAAAGAAAGCAGGAAAGACTCATTTCACTTCGTCGATCTTCACTAGAAATCACTATTGCCGAATATCAAAAGCATTGTAAAGCCCTCCTTCCCTTTCCTTATCTTTTGACTCCGGGTGATGATGTCCGAAACTATGAGGTTTACATGACTATTTCTCCTCTCCTTAATGATTCCCATTTCTTGTGATCTTTGTCTTAGCAAATTTTTCCCGTTTCTTAGAAAATTTTTCCATTGTATAGCTTATGTGATGTCTTGGTTATGATTTCTTTTTGCTGCTAAAAAATTTGGAAAAGATTTTAATTCAATTTGGACCGAATAGGAGCATTTTGTTCTAAGCCTTTAAATTATTTGATAAGATGCCTCTATGAAACTTTGAATCAAAGAATGAAGTAAAATCTTTGTGTGTATGGTTAGTCAATTTATAATGATTTTTGTGATGAAAAATGGTATCACAAAGGATTGTTTTGTTGTAATTTTCATGAATTTTGGTGGTGTTGTTCACGTCTAAAAACAGGTGACTGGCTGTTTCCGAAGCATTTCAAACCTTTTCTTTCATTTTTTGAGAAAATTAAGCCCTAAAACATGATCTACTTGAAAATGGAGTCTGAGATCATGTTTTGGTAAATTTTGGTGACAAGAAGGATTACCGACAACCTGAGGCGGTCCGGAGGCGGCGCTGCCACCAGCGTCAACCATGATCACCGGCAGAGAAGTTGCATGTGGCCGAAGGAGAGGAAGAAGAAGAAGAAAAAAAGGAATAAAGAAAAAGAAATAAAGAGGAAAAGGAAGTAAAAGAGTGGACTTGTTTCTTTTAATTTGTTTGGGCTGATTTTTTTGTTTTTTTGGTCGGGCTGTTTCTTTTCTTGGTTGGGCTTGTGTTGGGTTTTGGATGATAAATTAGAGATGCTTGCTATTTTAGGCATGTTTGTTTTACATGAAATAATTAACATTTTTTCTTTCGGGCCAAAGTAGTGTGACTCAAACACTAAGAATGTCCCAAAGTTGTTTCTTTGTATATTCTTATAATCAGAAATTTATTTTTGCAATTTGACCCCTAAACTTTTGAATAATTTTATTATGGTCCGAAATTTTTAGATTTCTTTTATTTAGCCCTTAATTTAATTTTATTTTAGCCCCTAAATTTTATCATTATTTAATTTTGATCCTTAATATTTTCAAAAATATATCTTGACCTTAAAAACTTTATAATTTTTTGCAATTTAATCCTTGATAGTTTTTTATTTCTCAATTATAATTATTTTCTTTCTTTAATTGTTAATATGTTTTTCTTACATACATTTAAATTGTAATTTTGAGTGTTTTAAGTTCATTTGCATCTTAGGCATGATGATGTAAATTTAGTACATTTTATGAGTTCTTTTAAAGTATTTTCAATTAAATTGGTGTCTTAATCTTTTTTGTTGAATTTTGAACGTAAATCTTCCCTCATTATAGTCCACTACTTCAAAAGGGAGGTAACCATATTACCCTTTAAATTCCAATTATATATTTTTATGTAGTCTTATGTGTCTATATGTTTCATATGTTTTCTTTTATTATTTATTTTAAAATTTTACCCATTTTTATGTTGATTAAATTAAGTTTTATAATTATTTGGGGGCACTTAAATACCCAAGATGTAATAGATAGGTTATATCTCCTTTTGCAAAAATGTAATTAGATACACAAATGTAATAGATAGATTATATAGGTTTATTTTCTTGTACTTCCGTTTTAAATTGTAGTTAGGTTTCCCATTGTAATAGATAGATTTTGTATATTTGTATTTTATGTGCTTATGTGTTTTAACGGTTTTCCTTGGGATTTTGCATCTGAATATTATGTCTATGTGCTATATACTCTATATGATCCAATATGTTTATTTATTTTAATCTATATTTTATATGTTTTAATCTATATTTATTTTAATGATGAATGTATGATGTCACCATATTAGTGTAACGCTAGTTGTAATTTTTTCCTCCATTTTTATATTAATCCAATGCTAATGAGGATTTATAAAAATGGGTTAATCCAATATTAGAACCTTGAGTTATCCATGCGTTAGATTCATTTTTTATATGTTATTCATTGTGTTTTCATGCATTTTTTCCTATTTTAGGTTATTTTTCTTATTTGCATGATATTGTTTCTTATATCATTCCCTTATCGCTATATGTATGAACCATATCATTTTAAATTTGTATTTCACTTAGAAAATTAGAAAGATAAGTTAGTTTATTTGCTTACTTCGGTTAGAAGAGTCATCTTTCAGATATAGGAAATATGTAAGTATAACATTTTAACTTTACCATGCTACTACCCTCTATAAGAAGGAAAATTGTATCACGAGTTTTTGTTCCACGTATCCAACATGTTACATTTTTTTCTCTTTGGTCATGCATATTGATATGTGTGTGTGTGTGTGTGTGTGTATTATAAGTTTTTTTTTTAATCTCATTTTGTCATACTTGTGACACCTTCAAGAGATTATTTTTGGGTCTCCCAATTAATACGATTAGTACCAACTAGACCTTAAAGGGATATTTTGTCCCTCCCAATATCCCTTTTAGATTTAGGGGCCTGTTTAGCAAATGAGCTTTTGCCCAATTTTGTCTCATACCAGTTTTTAACAACTTTAGTTACAGTAATCTCAAAAAAAATTTTAAAATTTTTAAACTGCACACTTGAAAATACCCAAAACACAAAAAAAAAAAAAATCCCTTCCTCTTTTATTCTTTCACCTAAACCCACTACCACCGCTGTCGCCAACTAACACCAGTTCCAACGCCGGCCACCTCTTTCGGCGTCGGTGCCGACCACTTCTTTTTTTTTCAACAATTTTTTATCACATCCCCATTTGGCCTTGAAAGAAGTGCTGCACGTATGACTATTTATTCCAAATCAATGGAAGGATCATACAAGGAAGGAACAAAATAAATGTTGTTTTTTCTTATTGCTGTTGTTCTATTATTCTCTAACATGTCCAATTCTTTTGACTCCAAACTATCTGGAAGTCTCCAACTGAAAAAAAATGTCTTTGCCGCTGCTTGGTTCTTGTAGGAAGAGAGAGGTTGCGGGGGAGAGGAAGAAGAGGGGGAAAGAGAGGGGAAGAGAGGGGGAGAGAGAAAAAAGCAAAAAATAAAAAAGTTTTCTGTCGCTACTTGGTTTCGACAGGGAGGAAAAGGTTGCAGGAAAGGGAGAGAAGAGGGAGAGGGAAGGAAGGGGGAGAGAGAAAAAAGCAAAAAAAAAAAAAAGTTTCTACTGCTGCTTGGTTCTAGTAAGGAGGGAGAGGTGGCGGGGGAGGGAGAGGAGGAAAAAATTGTTTGTGCCGCTGCTTGGCTTCGGCAAGGAGGGAGAGAGAGAGTGGGAGGGGGAAGTGAGAAGAAGAAGAGAGGAAAGAAAAGAAAAAAGAAAGAAAGAAAAAGAAAAAGAAAAAGAAAGAGAAAGAGAGAAAAAAAAAAGAAGTTTTTCACCTTAAAAATTTTTCCTACAACTTCTACAGTAAACTTCAATAAAGTTTTAAACAAATATCGAAAAAATTCATTTGCCAAATGGGGCCTGGATTTTACATTCATTTATAAATATTTGAATGCGATAAGTTTGAGGGTTAGATTAAGAAAATTTTGACTAAATCTCACTACTAATTTTGGTTAGGTTGAAAAGGTGATTCAAATTTGAGCTGATCGAATCTTTGTCTTCCTTTTATTCAACTGTGACTCCCGAATATTTTTCTCATGTTTTCAAAGACTCGGAATCTTTTTAAAAAAGGTTTTTTATTTTATTTATTTTCTAAAACTTTTCTAGGGACTTGGTGTATTTAAATTTAATATCAAGTAGCGACTCCCCTTTATTCTAAAAATCCCTTGGGCCAAACTGTCGCATTATTTTGGTCACATTTTAGGCATTTTTCCTTTATTTTTTTAAAATCAAAAATCCATTTTTCATTAAACATTTCTTCTTATTTCGAAAAATGGGGTGCGACATCTCCTCCTCCGCCAGCACCCCACTTGTCCACCATTCCTAGTCCCCTTCTATATCATTGCCAACCAACCCCTCTTTCTACCTCGCCAATCCAATATTTCACAAATATTCTAGCAAAAAACAAGTATAAAAACTCAGTCTTCATTAGTTCAATATTTCACAAATATTCTAGCAAAATCCCATCAACGCTATCAAACTTCTCTAAATATCAAAGTAACATTTGGCTAAAAATGATGAGTCTTGCAACAAACAACGTAATTGCTATCTTTAACTCTGGGAACCTTTGAGATTTTTGTCGGAGAGCAACAACAAAAATAAGAACCAAGTTGTCCCGTAAATGATAGACTATGTATTTTCTATTGACAATATGAATCAGCCATCATAAAATGCTATGCTTCGAGTAGGCTTTTATTGAATCGGTCACTATTTAGAGCCATCCAAAAATGACAACTAATCCTGCCACTTCCTCCCCAACAACCACACTCTTTTTCTTTCTCTCTTTTCTCATCTTTTCGTCTACCCCCATTTCTCTTTCCCCCTTCCTCAACCTGTGACCATATCTAGTTGAGACTTGGTTATGACTCAATCTGATTGCTGGCTGAGGGAAAGGAAGGCAAAAAATGGGAGAGATGGAGAGAGGGATATGAGGAGGAAGGGAGAAATAAGGGAGGGAGTGGTTGTTAGGAGAAAGGATAAGAAGAGAGACAGGATGGAGGCTAGCGGGAGTTGGGTAAGAGGGGTAGATGAAGAAGAAAGGACAGAGGGTTAAAGAAAGAAATAGGAAGGGTAGCGGTACTAGAAATGGCAGAAAAGAAGGATATGATGATAGACAGTGAAGAGTGGTAGTAGAAGAGGCAGGGTGGTAGGAGTAGAAGGGGAGGGTAGGTGGCGGAAGTTGTGGAGCAAGGAAGAAGATGGTGAAGGAAAGAAAAAAGAGAAATTAGTTGATAAAAAAAAATATTTTTAGAAAGAAATTTAATTTCTTTGGAAAATTAATCATTTTTTGTTGCTCATATTTGCACAAAAAGCGAGTGTATTGCACTCTTTGGATGATTTCTATCAAGTTTCAAATAAGTTCAAAATAGAAGGTGGTTATGTGAGTTTTTAAATACTGAGGGGGTATCGTGATCGAACTCTAAATCATAAGGAGGTTTTTTGTATTTTATTCTTATAATTTTTTTGGGCAAATTATCCATTTGGCCCTTGAACTTTTAGTTTAGATAAAATTAAGCCCCTTAACTATTTTTAGCCAATTTTTAGCCCTCAAACTTGTAAAATTGGGCACCCGTGACCCTTTTAGCTAGTTTATCCGATTTTGCAATCGGAAAGCCAATTCACACAAATGGCAGTATGCTTTGAAGAAGGGCATTTTTGTCCGCATATTCTAAACAAAAAGGGAACAACTCCTCCTTCTTCCTTTTTCCTAACTTTACCCAATCGCTAACTTATTCAATAAATAAATTGCAGAAGGAAGAGAGAGAAGTCTGCAAAGAAACAAGAAAAAGGGAAAAAGGTAAAGTCAAGTGAATGGAAGAAAAAAATGCGCAAATATCACAACCCTCTGTTTCCTATTTGTCCTTGCAGTAAAGTCACGAAGATGATTACTTCTTGGACTGATAGAAATCCAGGGAGATGGTACGCCGTTTGCTCAGAAGAAGTTGGTGGTTGTGGGTATTGGAATTGGATTGACGACGAGATGTGCCGTCATTCTATTGAGTTGATACCAGGCCTTCTAAGGAGAATCAATGCAACAGAAAAGTAAAAAGAGGAATTTGAAACTGCAGTAGTAAGATCCGAGGCAAAAACTGTCAAGTTGAAGGCAAAATTAAGAGAAACAAAGAAGTAGCTACGGTGGCAGAAATGGTTGAATAAGTTCCTTGTAAGGGTTCTTGTGGTAAGTTGGTTGGTTGCTATAATCATGATGCTTACAGAGAAAAAAAGAGGTGGAGTCTCTCCTGGGATGCTGCAAATTGAGGATAAATGTAATGAGATCATGCAAATTGAAGATGATACACGAAGGGCAGTGTGTAATTGTGACATATAGCCATCGGCACTGCTAGTTTTGAGAAAAATGGATGGAGCAAATGGATGTATGGTGTATGGTGCAGAGGGTTAGGGAGAAATGTATTGTATTCTTTAGCTTTACAAGTCTTTGTTGTATGTTGGATTAGTGTAAAAGTGTGGTTGAACCCAATCAATACTAACTGTAATTTTTGTCAAGTAATGTGATGAGAATTATTTATCCCAATTCCCATGTCATGGGCTTTGTTGGATGTATTTGATTATATTAGTCAACAAAAACTGCTATACTAAATCATACAAATATAAGATAACAACTGCATAACATTAGAATATAATTAGCAAAAGAAAATTACAATGATCTTTGCCTGTAAATACATAGAATAATCACTTTCATAGGAAACAGACAAATGCACAAAAATTAGTGACCTTTGTCTGTATTACTAGATACCAAGCACAGGCACATGCTTTGATTCCCCACAAAAGACTATTCAAAAAAATTCATTTATAGTCTGGACATTCTAGTTACATCCATTTACAGTCAACAAAATCATCACAAAAATATTTGCAGGTCTTCTTTTTTGTCAGGCCTGGTAACAAAAAATGGTGCAATATTTCAAGAACTTGTTCCAAATCTAGCAGATCTTCCCTTTTCTCTTCCCCTTCCCCTGCCTCTTCCTCTTCCTCCACCTCTTCCCTGCCAGTTTCCAATATTGAAAGGTAGATCTTTATCCAAGTAAGCATAGTTGAGATTAATAAAACATTTGTCTGCAGCTGTCAATGGCCTTTTTGATGTACTTCTCTTGTGTATATGAACTGGTGGCCTTACGATGGATTGTTGGGACTGAGATTGATGTGTTGGCTGCTGCTGAGTTTTTTGCTAATTTCTTTGTCCCTGATTGTTGCTTATTTACATATTAAAGAAAGCATTTCAAATCACAAAAAAGGTCACAAAGAAAAGGAAGTTATAATGAAATCCAAACTCACACGTTGTCTTTTTGTTGGAGCTTTCTGCTGCTGCTGATTACATGGTTGTTCAGTAGGTGCTGGTTGTTGAGAAGGTTGTTATACACTAGATGACTTAGGAGGATTCTTGCAAGTCGCAACATTATGTCCAATCCCTCCACACTTTCTACAATGGATTACAACATTCCTTCGCAACCTTTTGCCATGGTCTTTTCTTTCTGTAATATCTCTCTTTCTAGCTTTCTGTGGCCTGCCAGGTTGAGTGACACTTGCTGGTGGGTCAAACTCCAGCATATCTGACTGTGGCCATTGAATGTCTCCATTAATAGATCGGAACACATTATCATAGATGGTAAAGAATAGCTCCTTATGATAGTAGTTAGCCAACATCTTCTGTGGATCCTTATTAGCTCTATGTAGAGCAGCAATTGCATGGGAATATGGAATGCCACTCAAGACCCACAAATTGCATGTACACTCAGGGGCCGCTTGGTTCATGTTTAGGAATCGGAATTGTAATTGGAATCATTTACAAAAAATTAGTATGGGTTTTGGACAAAGGTATGATTACAAATAGGGGTGCTTGGTAAATATTGGTAAGGAATGGGTATCAAATTTAATAATCAAAATTTTTACCTTTAATTTCTTTTTTCTTTTCATATCTATCTTCTTCCTCGTTCAAATGCTTATCCCGTGGCCCTTTTGTCTGATAACTTGTTTTTGTATTCCATGTTATTTCTCATTGTACTGCACATTTGACCCTTTCTTCCACAATTTCTCTAATGAGTGTTCCACCATCTAACTTGTATTTTTTCATTGTTGCCCTTCTCTTTTGGATCCTTTCTATCAGGTATTCTCTAATGGCCTCCATCATAGAAATAATAGGCTGGTCCCTAACCTCTAAAATATGGCCATTAAATGATTCACACAAGTTATTAACCAGCATATCACACTGTGTATGTATGGAAAAAAAGGCCTTACACCAATGTCTAGGGTATGGTCCATTCTTCACCCATGCATGTGCTTCTTTGTCATATTCTTCAAACTCATCCATGGCTTTGTTGAAATGTTCAATTGTTGTGCAACTTGCTATACTCCACAATTTATCATTCAAACCTAATCCTGGATGTTTTTTTTTGAAATTTCTGTACATGTGTTGAACACAATATATGTGTTCAGAATTTGGTAGAACCTCTGCAAGTGCTCTATCCAGTCCTTACACAAAATATCAAAATAGATGTAAGTTAGATATCCAAAGAATGTCATAACAGTTTAGAAGTTTGAGGGCTAAAAGTTGCCTATACAAGATAGTTAAGGGGTTTAATTTTACTTAAACTAAAAGTTCAAGAGTCAAATGGATAATTTGCCAAACACAGTAATTTTATACTTTTACCTTCTATTGGTCAGACATGAAAGTATAATATCCCTTATTTTGTATTTCTAGGTCGCCACTCAAGAGGGTTAAGAACCATCTCCTTTGCTCCGTAACCTCCTTTTCAACAGCTGCCCATGCAACTAGCCAATAGCCATTGTTGGGGTCTACTGCAATAGCTATCAATAGTTGGCCTGGATATCTACCTTTAATATGACATCCATCCAAATACAAAATAGGTCTGCATTCGTCTTTAAAACCTTTCTTCAGTGGGCCAAGGCAGCAGTACATCCTCATGAACCTTGGATTACATCTAGGTCCTCTAAATAGAGTGAACATAACCTCCATTGTACTGCCAGGATAAGTCCTTTTAATCTCTTCACAATATTGCCATATTTTCTTGTATTGTGACTCAGCTGACCCCTTAATCTTCTCAATAGCTAGTGACTTTGCCTTAACTGCAACATGCTTAGAGATTTCTGCCTTGTAGTCTTCGTGGACTATTTGCCTTAACTCTCTCGTTGGCAGATTGTTGTTTGATTTTATCCTTTCTATATACCTGTTAGACAACCACTTGGCAATAATATTCTTATTTTTTCATGCATGGTTGCATGTTTCATGGACATCATGCATAATCTTTACTACCAAATACTTTGTGCCGAGCCTTCTCTATTGAAACAAATACAAGTCATTTACATGGCTCCCTACACTTGGCTCTCACCCTGGTGGGTTCATTTTTATAGGTCCAAACAGGTTTACCCATCCTAATCCCATACTCAGTCACAGCAGATTTGAATTGTGCTCTTGACTCAAATTTTATCCCAATCTCGAATTTGGGATCCTTGAGGAATTTCTCTAGAACAAAATCCTTGTATCTCCCTTTGAATTCATCATCTGATGAGCCATTGTCATTATTTAGGTGATCAGGAATGTAATCTTGTTGGAGTGAATCTATATCCTCTAGTCCCTGGCTAGATTGGTTTGCTGGTCTAGTTCTCCTTCTTCTAACTTGTTTTTTTCTCGCACCTTGCTGTTGTGTTTCCAAGTCAGTTTCTGTTTGTATGTCTAAAACATTCTCCTGTTCTGAACACTGCGTCTGGTCAGTTGTGGTGTCATCTCTCTGCTGTTGCTGTGAAGTTTCACCGTTGCCATCAGTATTCGAAAATAAAATGTCCAATATTTCCTCTTCACCACCATAGTCATTGGCACCACTAAATCTATCATTTTCTTCCTCTGATTCTGATTCAGATTCATCTTCAATGTTTTCTATACTTATTGATTCATTAGCCCACAATTAGATGCTGCATTACTATAGTCTGCATCATTTTCACCCTCTGCTGTCCCAACATTAGTAGCTGCATGACTGCTTTTTGCTCTTTTTTCACCCCTTACTGCCCCAACCATACAATCCCTTCTAGTACTCTTCTAAGTATCTACATATTTAGTTATGCATTCTTCCTTATCTAATTCCTCTATGACAACTCCAGATTTTTTTCCCTTATTTGGTGACTCTATTATTAGATTATTTTTTAGTTCTTCAATTTCTATTACTATTAGATGATGACAATACATTTCCATCACCTTGAAATTATATGCCCAATCACAGAATGTCCTAACATGAGTATCAGTGGACCATTCTCTCAAACCAATCCCCATGTCTGCAATTGGTTTAAGGTAATAGTACAAAATGGCTGCATTACGATTAGGGATGGCAATGGGGGCGAGTGCCCGCGGGCAATGGGGACGGGTGCCTGCGGGGGGCTCTCGGGGCGGGGGTTGGGGCGGGGGGTATTTTTTCCCCCCGTTTAGAAACGGGGCGGGGGGCGGGGGTATACTCCCCCGCCCCATCCCCCGCCCCGCCACCCGCAAAAAAAATTATATATATATAATTATATATAATATGTAATTTAATTAGTTATAACTTATGATAATGATATTATTAGTTAGATGTATTATATAATGTATAATAGTGTATGTAATATAATTAATATTATCAATTATACGAATAATTAGACATGTCTACTAATAGAATTTATTAATTAGTTATATTAAATTTACTAATACATTTATACTAAATTTCTAATTACACTTAATAGAATAACACTTTTTTCTTAAAAAAAAAAAGCACAAACACAATAATGAATTAGTGATTGTATTTGTATCAAAAGTAAAAACTTAACTATTTTAGTTGTATTTATTTCATCATGTTGGATTGTATTCAAATAATTTTTGTTTGATTGTTTTTATGAGTTTCAATTGTAAAATTAAAATGAATAATAATTTGATGATGTGTTGATATTTTAGTATTTGATTATTTATTAAAATTTAACTATAATAAAATTTTATTAACCCAGTGGAAAAAATTTTATTAACCCCGCAGGTGCCCCCGCGGGGGAAGCGGGGCGGGGCGGGGGGAGTGGGAGGCGGGGGACGGGGCAGGGGGTGGGGGGAGTTTGTAGGTAGCGGGGCGGGGGATGGGGGAGGGGTCCCCCGCCCCAACCCCGCCCCGTTGTGACCCCTAATTACGATGACCAACTTTTTCAACCATTTTATTCAATTCATGGATTGACATACGCTCAGCATCACACATATCTACATAGTCCACTTCTCCATTCTCATAGCTGACATTAATTTTTCCAATTTATTCTTCCCCCGTAGTGTAACCTTATGCTAAATATTTCAGATTCTGGAGCTGCATACCAATATGAATTTTTCGTTTCAATACAAGTTGGGCTTACAAGAAGTGCAGATAAATGTACTATTCAAAATTCAACTATAATTAATTAAATTTCAATTTCTGCTTCACATGCTTTTTAAAAAAGTATAATGTAATACCCAAATCCAAATTAAACAATAAAAAAGTTCCAACTTTTAATCAAATGCCGATTATTCGTAAATCCCTATACTTTTTGAACAACTAAACAACAAAATTAGGTGCCCACCACCATACCCCCACATCTAGGATCACTACCACGTCACTTTCAGTAACCCCTACCACCAAAATTTTATCTAAACCCATCCAACCACTGAATATGCTAGCTATTTTACATTTAAAGGTTCCAACAGAGTTACATACCATAAGCGAGGACCAGATCAAAGTATTCATTTTCCGGCTTGATTTACCACTCCATTGTTGCTTCAATGTCGATGATACCCAACTACTGTTGAACTTGACAGTACTGATTCTCTCTTGCTCTTCTCCATCCATAAAGATCCTCAAGGGAAGATGAAAAAGGGTGAGGAAAATGCGGTGTGGTTCAACTTGTTTGGGCGGGTTAGGAAAAGGGAAGGAAGAAGGAGGAGTTGTTTCCTTTTTCCTTAGAATATGCGAAAAAAATGCCATTCTTCAAAGCATACTGCTATTCGTGTGAATTGGCTTTTCGGTTGCAAAATCGAATAAATTGGTCGAAATGGTCATGGGTACCCAATTTTACAAGTTTGAGGGCTAAAAGTTGACCCAAAATAGTTAAGGGGATTAATTTTAGCTAAACTAAAAGTTCAAGGGCCAAATGGATAATTTGCCATTTCTTTTTGTTAAAACTTGCTTGTTCACTAAACTTTTCAACCATGGCCCTGTTTGGAAGCTTGGTTTTTTACCAAATTTGTATAAAACTAGTTTTTTAACAACTTTTGCTACAGGAACCCAAAAAATTTATCAAAGTTTTTAACCTACATACTTAAAAAATATACAAAAAATTTTCCCTTCAACTTTTCTTCTTTTTCCTCCCCCACCCAACCCACCACGTCCTCCGGCACCGGCGATCATCTCCACCACCATTTCCGGGGCCGGTCACTATTCCGACAACCAGTTCCGGCGGTCCTCTTTTTTTTTTTTCTCTCACCCTCCCCCTCCTCTCTTCGACTCTGCCTCCTCCGCCACCCTCCCCATCCCCGTTTCCCTTTGCCCAAACTGGTCTCTGATGCTCTTTTAATTTTTTTTTTCTGTCTCCCTCCCCCCTCCCCTCTTTCCCTCTGCCTCCCCCGCCACCCTCCCCCTCCCCCTTTGACGGATCTGGTCGCGCGACCAGATCGCAAAGGGGGAGAGGGAGGGGGGCTGCGATCTGGTCGCAAGACCAGATCGCAGCTAGGGGAGGGGGAGGGTGACGGGAGGTGGCTAGGGAGGGAA